AGTTTGAACTTTCTACAGTATGTTTGATAGAGCCCCCCCCCCCGACTTTATCTTTTTAGCCGTTAGTACATACAAACTAGGAGAGCTTTACTTGCATTATTTATTCGGTTAGAGTTTTTTCGTTCATCACTCCCGTTCTTTGCTAAAATATTGATAACTTCTTAGTGCGAAAATTTGCAGGATAGTGAACTGTGTCGCTTTCGTTGGTAGAACACGCTGAATTATTTAGCGACCAATGGATGGAAATCAAGAAGAAATTCTTCTGATGACACTGGAAGATAATTAATGATTTCTATATATTAATTATGAGTGCATATGTGGCTGAATAAATAATATGAGGCAATTTCTATAAACAATACAGAATTTGACTTTTGATTCGCATAGAAGCTTATACATGTAGCCTGTTTCAATAATACTAGTCATTTTCCATACTTGATGTTTAAATGATTTAAATGAATGTATTTTTAGAGCATGTAGTATTATTGCTAATATTAAATTTTCTTTTATTTGGAAACTATTTCTTTTTATTTTCTTAGTGTTCAAAAATTATACATTTTATGTTTGCACTCATATAAAGTATACAACCATATACATGTATATGTATAAATATGCAGTTGTCAAATCTTCGCTATACTAAAAATTTTCATAAATCTGTCGCTTTATGATACAGATATTTTAAAAGAAACACATGATATTGACTCATTATATGTTACTTTAATTTTAGCGTTATTTTGCTAAATGCATATTAAGATTTCATAAAGAGATTGTATATTTGGGGAGAAATACGGTGAGTGGGGGATAAGGGGCCGGGTGGGGTAGGGGTGCGCACTCCATTCATAAAAGCGACGTGCGATATTGTTTTTAAAAGCTGATCTAAAGATCTTTGTCAGACATCTCGCATTTCCTTTCCATTTATTTGTAGATATCACTAAAAATGTTCATGTTATGATATCCATTGAATACACATCCTAATTTTTTAGCCTGGATTTTTTCCAGAATTTGATTTTTTTTTAAGTGGTTAAAACAGCCATTTTTGATAGGTATTTGAAGAGTCGAGTAGCAAATTCCCATTTTTCCGGAATCGTCGTACATGTTCGATTCAAGAGTTATTGTTTCCCTGTTGAAAGAGGGCGCTAAAATCTGGTGTTTACATTCCTGAAAGATAAGAAAATCATGGAAAATAAGGTTGCTAGACGATATGTTACTAAGGTACTATTTTCAAATAAGACTTTGTAATTGTCTCATAGGATATTGAGACATTTCATGATGCACGGGGGCTTAGTGTAATATTGAATAATTCATGACCTAGGCTATTATAGCAGACGCATTATCATAGCGTGGTCAAAAATATAGGTCTAGTGAAATATGCAACATATTAACGTCAATATTTTGACAAATGCGTTGTGCTAAAGCTGTATTACATATTATACATATACTGAATTAAAATTTTAGAGCCTGTGGCATTTCATAGAATCTCTTACCTCCATCTGTCTATGCCGTTTTTAGCTGTTGATCACTGTTTATTCTTGTGTCCTGTAATAGTCTCGGCACAAGTAGAAAATTGTCATGGATTCAAGTTTCAGTCCACAATTGCCCACTTTTACCTGTTTTATTACTGTATATATTGGTAAAAATATAGACCTACAGCTTTTACAATGACCAACATATTTTTTAACATGTTTAACCTATGGCATAATGTTGTGCAGAACAAACTTGTGTTTTTCTGGAATATGCTTTTTAAAAATGAAATTATGGCATATGGAAAAAGTTGGTGTATACTTAGTTAAGTATGCATTTAAGATGGAGAGAATGGATTGGAGCTCTAACATTCATAGTGATCAAGTCCTAAATGTCGGCAGCCAACATAATCTTGGTAAGGATGACAGCTAAGTTGAGCTGACTGGTCAGGGAGCGACAGCTTACACCCATATTTCATTGTTTCCTTTCCCGTCTTCACAGTCTGAAAATGCATGGATATGGAAGAATTCTGATTTTTGTTAATTTAATCAATTAATTAATTATTATTGTTCATTAGTGACCATGCATTTTTATATTAGATATATATAGTTACCTTGTCAGATATCTTCAGTTAAAAAATAGTAGGAAAAGCAGGCAAAGGGGACACACTGACACAGAAAATATTGATAAACATCTTCATAATCATCATTTAGAAATTATTTGTATTTGTGTCAAAAGAGGTAAAATACAATCAACAATTGCACAAAAGATTTTTTTATGAATTTGATAGAAAGGAATACTTTCTATTTCCACCATTTAAGAGTTATAGTCAAATGTGACAGTATATTGTTGTGGATTTTATATGCATCAGAAGTAGAAATAAAAACGTTATCAATTTATATCTATAACAGGAAGTTGTTGACTTAGTGTTGATGGTCCATCTCCAAATACAATGTTCATGCCTCATTAATGTCATAATTTTTATCAATGGATAATAAATTCAGGGCTTTCATTCTCTTACATATGTCTGTTAGTTCTTCTATTCTTTAATGGGAATGACAGATACATTTAACAATCAAAATTAGGATTGAGGTTGGCATGTTTTGTATTAATTCTCAGCTACGTCATAGTTGTCCCAGTCAGACGTCCAAACATGCCTCTATAATAAATTTGAAGAGTTTCAGTAATGGATTCCAAAATAGAAAGTATTGATATTTGGCAGTAAAATTTATTTTATTTACATGCTTTGGTGTACTTGTAAAACTATTTTTTTTTCACAAAAATGTTTGAAATTTCAGTTTCAGTAAACTTAAATAATTTTTTTTTACTGGTAAGTATCATTTGTTTTAAGCCAATAAACATGATAAAGTACATACCCTGCAATTTGCATACTAGAAATGACTGTATAAGCCTTTCACCTTGTCACATGATGATGTAAATTATTTCCGTTATAATTATACTAAATATGCCTAACAAGGGAAGTACTGAAATTTAGCATCTAGCTAACAGAATGGGAGTAAATTTGGTATTAAACAGGACAATGACAGTTGTCTTTCTAAACCATTTTGTGTAGCTACATGTAGTGCCTTCCTTTTGTTGTTGCATCCTAGCTATGCTAGTTTTTCACTTTCCCTTACCACTGACCCTGTCCTTTTTGTTTATTGCCTGAAATTTTTTTTTTATTTTCAAGACAGTGATTTCATAATCAAAACTTAATTGAGATATACATATTCATTGTTTTCATATCAAAACTAAGTAGTTAGGACAGATACATGCTATACATAAACAGCATACATGTATCTACGGAAATTGAATCGACATTACAAAGAGAGATGATTTCACATCATATTTTTAATAGAATGATTATAATGATTGACAATTTTAATTTTCTGTAACATATTTTGTAAAAGTATTATATTATAATTAATTTTGTTTTTTTAATTTCCCATTCGCTGATTGTGTATACTGTATTTAATTGAAATAAGAGAAATTTGGGGGGGGGGGGGATTTGACTAATTTGAGTTCATAATATGTGCTAGTATTTTTGTCAACTGATTTAAAAGCATTAGAAAAATATTTACCATGATTTAAAGGAGGTTATCATAGTAACATAAAGGTAGACTGTTATTGCTGTGGTATGGTCTACATGTATACATTTCCATACCCATAGGAATAACTTACAGCTAGGAAAGAACTTTTCTACAAAAACTGGCATATCTTGGTTTGAACTTTTAAACTCTTCGTCATCAAACATGAAAGTTCCATGTAAATTATATTGACAGTAATGAAAAATTTATATGATATGTATAGTTTATTGATTATAACTGTGTCTATTGCTATCATATATCATTTGTTTATGATTTTCAATGAAAGTTTGATGCCAAATCAATGTCAAACTTGGTTTTATTAGGTTTCAGTTGCATGCACTGTCCAAGGTTACACTAATTAGAGGAATATCTTTTAAGTTTTTACTTATTTTATTAACAAATATTTGGTACATGTGTATTTTCACATAAATCTTTCACCATCGTGAATAATTCTTGGTCATTTTCATTTATACTTAGTAATGCATGATTTTTTATCTTGTTAATTAGTTGGTGTCACAGAGGAAATAAATATTAATTTAAATCTTGCTAGTCCACAGTTGCCTGCTAGGTATTGACGATTATAATCATGCAATAAACAAAAAATACATTTACCTATAAGTTCATTTTGTAATCCAAGATCTTGAAGGAAAAAAAAATCTTTTGTGAAGATAGAATCCAACGTAAATCATCATATATAACATATATATCATTTTTATACCTTTGTATATATCATTTACTTAAGATTTGAAAATTATCTTTAAATATGTAATTACATTGAGGCTTTATCAGGAAAGTTAGAGAAGCATATGTACCTGTAGAAACTCCACTTTCTCTTCTAGAGGCTTGAAATCCTGAATAGTGGTTCCTAAGACAAAGTTCCAAATAATATGTGACAATATTGCAGATCTTCAAGTATTCAAAGCAAAAGATCATCACTGACAGATTTATCTTTCAATGATTAAATCAATATAAAATCTTTTATCAGAAAGGGGCACCATTAGGGTTTATAGATAGGTAATTTATGCCTCATTTATAGAGGCAAACATAAAGAAAACTGAAATTATCTTCCTTATTAGACCATAAAGGTACAAATATATAAAGGTACAAATATAAAAAGGTACAAATATATAAAGGTACAAATACATGTATAAATTCTGCTGTAGGAGAACACATTTACTGCTTTGTAGTGATGTAAATTATTATTTGTTGAACTAACAGATCGAACCATAGTGAATTTAGGATTTGAATGGTATTTATCAAATTGTATAAACCATTAAGAAGGTTATAAGTTCAATATAATCATTGCAAAGCTTAAGGATAAAAGAAATCAGTGATTTTGTGAAGGAGACTAGAAGCTATATAATATTTGACTGCCCCTCCATTAAGCCCCATTACTATAACCCGTCTGATAGGAGAAATAAAATTTAAGTTAGATCCTTATGTCTTACCTTGACAAGGTGTGTGCAAGCACTTGCTGATACTATATCAGGGTGCATAACAATGGCGTCAAATAAGGTTGCCATCGCCAATGAACTTTTTGAAAAGGTAAACTTTACATTTATTATATATTTGCACATGGGTTTATGATTTTTATTTTCAAATTTTCTGCAAAGTGAATTTCACTTCCCTAATTTTATGCAGCAATAAACCATTATCAACCATATAGAAGCTGGAAAACAATTCACAAAAAAAAAAGACAGATCCCCTTGAACAAATAAGAAGGTCATTAAATCTGTCAATTTTAATCTATTTAACCACTGTTAACAGTCAGTATTCAATGTATTTGTATATATTAGAAAATTGATTCAGTTTCTTTATGTTTTAGACATATTTTTTCAAGAAATGAAATACTTATGTCAGTGGCATCATTGATTTTTTTTTATTCTAGTTTAAAAAGATGATGTACTATGCAACCTTATTTTTGCTGCATAATGAAACTGTAAATTTATCAAATAGTGTCCTGAACATCTAAATTAAAAGTGAATAAAGCAGTAGATGGGACAGATAGAAAAAAAATTACAAAATGGAATAACAAAATTTTTATTTAGAAAGTGCAAAAATAAGAGGGAATTCAAAAGGGGGGACAAGAGGAGTTTCTTCTTATAGTAGAGTTAGGTGTGGGTATGTGTGTAGATGGATTGGGGGGTTGCTGATGGAGGGAAGAACTAGAGGGATGTACTTACATGTACTGATGTAATAACCTAAAGCACATTTGCCTATTTCACTGCATTTATAATAAAGTACTGAATACAAACATCTCATTTATGAGTCTCAATTTCATTTCCAGGTCAATGAACTTCTTCCAGAGGAGGAGAGACCCCTGATTTTTGAAGCATTAAAGAGATACCAGTCGTATGAAACATTTCCTTTCCTCTTAATTTAATATGATTTTTATGGCATTGGAAAACATTAATTCTACAAATTTTACATTAATTTTGCAAAGAAAAATTACCTGTATCTAGAATATCAAATTGATCAAATTGTGCAGATCCATTTTGTGTTTGCATAATTAATAGAATGTTGACTTACATAAGAGACAGGCTAAATAAATTGATGAGATCACTATATTTTTAGGTCTATGGATTTAAAGAGGCTAATATCAGATATGAAGATAGTACTGAATGAGCCAACAAAATTGGAGATCTATGAATATATGAGGTAAAGTGACATTTATTTGATAGTTATAGCTCTGGGAATAAAGGGGAGTCTTTTCTGTGAACATATCCAAGTGAAACATGTTTCTACAAAAGTCTTAACAATTACTGCCTAGCTAAAGGAAGATTACCTCCTGGTGTATATGATTGTCAATGTAAATTTTGTTTCAAATAACAGTCCATGTACTTTATACACATGTTCAGGTGATTAAATACATTGAAATGTAATACAAAATCAACAAGGGTACTGCAAAGCGGAGCATCCCCTCACAAAAGGGCACATTTTTAAGAGGCTTGTTACATACAACTAACTCACTGCAAACATCAAAACAGAAATAAGTGGTTGTTTGTATCACACAAAATTCATTTTTTTTTTCAAATGTTTAATTGCCATGCATTCCTGATTTGATCTACACCCTGACAGAATTTTATTCAACATTCATAAAACTGTACAATTAATCATTGGTTAGAATACAATTTAATTCAAAGAAAAAAGAGGAAAAAGCCTTATTCAAGAGGGTCATTTTATTCTCACATAAGATCAATTTGGTCTTATTACTGAGTGTGAAGCTGACACAGGAACGTTTCGGCTCCAAGCACATGCCTATTCATGGTTGTTCATGGTGAAACATAAATGTTTAATGGTTTATTAAAGGGGCCTAGACACAAATTTGAAGTTAATATTATCTCAAATTTTCTGTATAATATCATGGCATATATTGCTATAGCATTTCACACAGAAATATAATTTAAAAAAACTTATTTCATCTGGAAATTATTGAAATTACGAATTTCAGGACATGTTTGATTGACACATCCTTGCACTTTCAGAAAGTAAACTTTATCCTTAATACTTAAGAAAAGTAGAAATTTTGTTGCATATTAATGAAAAATATTAAAACTATAATCCAGAAAATTCAGAGTACAAATGTGAGAAAGTAAAACCAACTCATCCGTATTGTTAGTCCGTGCTCAGTGATGTGTGCAGAGTTTAACAAATTGAACACACCAGGTGAAAAGTAAACATTAACAATCACAGAGCTCATGCCCTGTCTACAAAAACGGTTTATGTTTTACCGGATGTGTTCAATTTGTTAAACTCTGTACACATCACTGTAAAAGGTTGTTGATTCGGATGGAAAGTGTTTAAACGAAGACTTACTAATGTATATACACAATTCTTTCTTTGTGATAATTTTAATAAACAATGTCTTGTCACTGAAAGTATTAAATTTCTCTGTATATATTTTAGTTTACAATACTGTATGTTCCCATAAAAAGAAAAATATATATACAGGTGTATGCAAGTTTTCACATCTTAAAATTAATAGGAGAAATGTTCTAAGCACACATGCACCTATACATAAGTACAAGTTTAAACCAGTAGAGCTGAAATCTCATTGGAGATTTTGGGAAAACAATACAGTCATTGGTTAATTATATGTGTTGTGAATATTCAGTTCATATTGTTAGGAATTTAATGATTAATAAATTTCCAAGGGTGCACACAGACGAACAATTTATTTAATACATTTAATATGGCTTAGCTCATTTCATTTCTTTTTCTGAGTGCTTATCATGAATAATACAAGAAAATGGCAGTTAATAAAAGCAGTTCATTGGCTGAAATAAGGATGTTTAACTGGAATTTTGTCAAATTGTATTTAAGTTTTAACCACATATAGAAATTTTAAAAATTTGTGAGTGTTCCCTTATGTATTCTGTTGAATACATGTATGTAACAAAAGAATGTTTTAATCAAAAAAAAAATCAAGAGACAATATGCTCTATAATTTATTGGATAGACTATTCAGCACAATGTTAAATAGAAAAGCCATTGATACAATTACATTTTGCATTTGTTTGACAAGGAAATTAGTTTGAATTAAATTCCATGCATTTTCATTTATTATTTAGATTTCAGGAAAGAAACGCGATGAAAATAAGATACTGACAATAAAAACAAGCATAGTTGTATTTGAGTTTAAAATTTGCCCCTTTGTGATTCCTGGAATTCCTCTTCTCTGGGAATATCAGTGTAACTGTCTGATGATATTGTTGGTGAACAATTGATGTTTTGTTCTTTGTCACTCCATTGTGGTCCACAATGAGGTCCCTGTTTATTGGATATTATTTATTCATCAAAATTTTAAGCAGGGATTCTGTTAGTTTGAATCATATTTGATTATTTAAATGTAGGAAATCGGATATTTGTCACAGTATACTACAGTTACTGTACAGTGAATGTCATGAAACTAAAATGATTTATCTTTATGCATATCAACTCAACTTCAAACTTAAGTTTATCAAATTAAATGTATTTATCATCAAAAAACACTCTGTCAAAGAGATGAATTCACAAAGTAATTAAAGGCCATAAAGTGATTTCAATACAGTATTATTATGCCCCATCATGAATATGGCTGGGGCATATTGTGTTTGTCATGTCCGTGTACTGTCCTTGCTTCCATCTGTCACGCCAAGGGTTTAGCTCAGTTTCAAGGAAACTGTTCAAGATATTTTAACCAAAATCACATACAGTAAAACTTAGTTATAGTGAAGTTCTGGGGACCTGAGAATTTACTTCACTTTATTCGTAATTCGTTATATTCGTATAACAAATTCGTTAAAGTATACATAGCAACTTTGCAATATAGATTTTTTTTCCCTTGAAGTATGACTACCAAATGTATTTAGGGAAGTATGAAATATAAAATTTCCTTGGAGTTCAAAAATTTTTGGATGAATAGTGTTCTAAATATATATACTTACAAAGTAAATGTTAGTTCAATATTTTAAAAACTAAATTCTTTAAAAATTCGCTATAAAAGATGTAATTTTCATTATTTTTAACTTCTAGGGGACACAGAAGCAGTTCGCTATAACCGTAAATTCATTATATCTGAGTTCGTTATATCCGTAATATTTTACAAGGAATTGTTAAGAATTTCGCTAGGGATTGCAAAAAACTTCACTATAACCGTAAATTCGTTATATCCGTGTTCGTACTAAACAAGTTTTACTGTACTGATTTATATTGATGAGAGCTATTCAATGGCGTAATTTCCTTACTTGACCTTCTTTGTGACCTTGCCCTCACTTTATGTTTAGCTAAGTTTCAAAGTAACTATTCAAGATATTTTTATCAAAACTTGTACACTGTGTTTATTGGTGGAAGCTATTCAACTGTGTCATGAATTTTCGACCTGACCTTCCCTGTGACCTTCACCTCACTAATAATTTTGCATTTAGAAATTATTTTAGGATTTTTATCAAAACTCATATGCTGAATCATATTGGTGGAGATCTTCAACTGTGTCATTATTTTTCTGGCCTTGACCCTCTCTATGACCTTGGACCCATTATTAGTCATTTTGCATTAATTTTAGACACTGTTCAAGATATTTTTATCAGACTGATCAACACTACTTACCATGTTATAAAGGCAACAACTGTATTAAAAATATATGCTCTGTATATTTATAAAAATTAAAAATTATTCCTTCTTTCAGCATGCTTTACTCTAAGCTCTGACCATAGAAATACTGTAAGGTTTATTTTCATGTTGCAATACAAATGTACAACTGGGTGAGGCATTCATGTCCTATGGACATATTTCTAGTGTAAAAAGGTGTTTTTAAGAGAGTAATAATTTAAGACAAGAAAAAATGAGATATTTTATTGAGTTTGGCAAGAATATCCAGTGCTGTAATTAATTACAATTTACATTTCTCTTGTATTGAATATGTACAGGTTTACGACTTATGAATGAATCACAACTCTTTAAGTTTCTCCCACAAGCAAAGAAGAACATGTTTTATTCATCAGCATTCTTCTTTGATGCGAAGATATTTAGTGTCGTCTTAAGTTGTTGTAATGGATTTCTAATCAATTTAGTCACACATACAGAACATTAAAAGTATTTTGCAAGAGGCATATTTCGAAAAATTTCAAATCAGTAAATCCTTTGATATCATTAGAATTTGCATGATTTGTTGAGATTGTTTAACCTATATAGAAAACTGTATAAATCTTTGCAGCTTTGATATAAAATTTTGTTTGTTTTACAATAATGCAAAGATGTGTATATTAAAAATTTTTTTAAAAAATGTACCAAGATACACATAAATGATAACATGTATACAATTTAAAACTTAATTCTAATTTGCCAATTTAATATTTGTGCATGTACCAGTTTAATCTTGCACTATGTGTTCTTCCACATCTACAAATTTTATTGTCCCCCGCTTTCGCAAAAGCAAGGGGACATTAAATCTCATTCTTCTGTCTGTTAGTCTGTTGTCTGTTAGTCAGTCTGTCATAAAAACTTTAACCTTGGTCATAACTTTTGAATGAAAAGAGATAAGGCTTTCATATCTCACGTGTACATTACCAGTGACAAGACCTTTCCAAATATACTATGATTTTTGACTCTGTGACCTTGAAGTTTGACCAACTTTTCAAAAATTTTAACATTACTTCAAGGAGGTTCATTTACACCCACAGTTTGTTTTAGATTTCTTTACAGCACCACTTATTATGAAGATTTCAAATATCCAAATGGAGGTTATGATAGGATAAATATTTTTTAAAGATTTTTTAATCTTTTTTCTGATTTTGGTTAAATGTTTTATTGCAAGTTTCTGATTGATAGTATTGCAGGAATCTCAGTGTCAAGTGATGGATATCATCTTCAGATATGTAAGCAATGTAAAAACACTTCATAATATTCAATAGTACTTTTCTTAGAAAAAATAATTTTCTCCCAAAAAAAGAATTAATGGGATTTTCTTCTTATCTTTGCTGGAAAATTAATTATAAATAGACAAGGAATGTATATTAATGAATAACAAGTGTTTTAAGGAAATGAAAATTCCAATTTAAAAAATTATTGGACTAAAAAGTCCACTTGCAAGAGTTATCTTTCCTAAATCCCCCTTACTAAAAACACTCAAGAACGGTTGAACATATCAGATTCAGAATAAGCTTAAACTTCTAGAATAAATGTACAATTTTTTCAAAGAAATAAAGACAAGCACACAAACCAACAAGAGTACAAAACTCTAAAAGCACAAGTCAATTATAATTTATTTCATAATTTTTTTCAACGAGGTTGTAGAATAAGATTGCAACTCGAATTTCCTCTATACATACATGTTGTCATTGGTAAAACTTGCTGCTTTCACTATGACATTGTACACTACTTGGGTATGCAAGTGAGTTAAGGCTAGGTATAGGCATTTCTATGCAAATAAACCATTTAAAATGCCTAAGGACTATATCTATTATACGGAAAAAGTTAAAACTTATTGTCTGATACAGACATGGTACCCACGACATGAGATAGCCAGTACACATTGTGACGCCATATTATGACGTCATTGTTCTTTACTACGCAAGATTATAAGGGACATCAGCAAAAATGCTTTGGCGCAAGGGCAAGCTCTATTTTATTTAACTGAAACAAGGTATATTTAGAAGCAAAATATTCCACAGTTTGCTGGTATTGCTGCACAAATATCAACATCTCAGTTGTATAATTTCTATTTGTAAAGTTTTAAGTTGAAAAAGGGTAAAAAGGTACAGTCCGATATAAGTTCCCTCAAATTCCGATCAAATGAGAGAATGCCTAGGATTTGTGCAGCAGTTTTATTAATATATAGAATATTCTTCTTAGCATTATACAATTTTTATGTAAAAATATATAGAGTAATCCCTTGCTCTGAAGCTGTTTTGTTGATATATGTTTTATTACCTCCAGTAGGTAAGATCAGTGACGTCATAATATGACGTCATAATGTGTACTGGCTATATCATATCGTGGGTACTAAGTATGCATAAGAAAATAAATCAAAACTTTCTCTGAATAATAAATATACCTCTTATGTGTTTTTATTAGCTCATTTGCAAAATGTTTGTACCTAAAGAAAAGTCTTGTCACAAGGAATACACAGGTGAAATATGAAAGCCTTAGCATCAACCATTCAAAACTTATGGCCAAGAATAAAATTTTTCAAAAGTAGATGAAACTCCAGGATCAACATGATCAAGGTCACAAGGTCAAAAATGTTGGTATCCAAAAGAAAGCTCTTAATAGCTATCACAAGGAATACAAAAATTAAATATGAAAGCCCTTGAAGCTATAACCGTTTGAAAATTATGGCCAAGATTAAAATTTTTCAAGAGCAAGTGAAACTCCAAGGTCAAAGTCATGAGGTCAAAATTGTTTGTATCCAAAGAAAGGTATTGTCACAACATATGTGAAATTTGAAAGCATTAATTATGGCCAAGGTTAAAGATTTTCAAAAGTGAATGAAATTCCAAGGTCAAGGTCATGAGGTAGAAAATGGTACCCAAGGAATACACTTGCAGGGTTGTCCCTAAGACCCGGGGGCCGGGGAATTTCCCCACCTATGATGACGTTATCCCCCAGCTACTCTGGTATTCACCCTCAACCTCTTGTTAGGGGAGGAACCCCAGATCCCCCTTCTACTTTTTTTTATGTCCCCTCCTATTTCAATTCTTAGGGACAACACTGCACTTGAAATATGAAAGCCTTAGCACTAACCATTCGAAAGTAGCAAGGTTAAAGTTTCTGCTGACAAACAGATAAACAGACTGATGGACAGACCCAAAACTATAGCCCCTGAGTCTGAATGGTACATCAAAACAAAACAAAACATGGACTCTTTCTCTAAACCATCTTTGCTAGCAAAGGGGGAGCAAAGTGGACCAAAAACCCTTGGCTAGCGAAGATGTCCATAAACATCCATGTTCTCGGAAGGTTCTTACAAGCTATAATGCATGTTTCATGAAGGTTTTGAATCTACCTTGGGTTTAAATTTATATTTGATTTTGTTCTTTTTCAGCCTAGTACATGTATAATTCAAATATACATGTACAAAACTGGTTGATCAATGTTCTTTTTTCTACCTCTTTACAGACCTCTGATACCTCCCAAACACCAATCAGATTATGACAAATTAGCACCAGCACCACCTGGCAGAAAGCTAAGGGCCATCACTCTGAGAAAACGTGCAAACGAAAGCTTTGGATTTGCAGTTAGAGGAGGTACTAAATCACAAGAAGTATTATATTTTTTAGGTATTCTTCATGTAATTGTGTCCAAGTATACCATTGAAGGAGGTAGATAAATTTGAGCATCTACTTGTTGCTGATTTATGGGCTTTAGGTTTGGTTACCTTTTCTAAAGAAAATGGATACTTGTGAAAGCTAAATCATTGTACTTTTACCACTTTAAGTAAGGATTTATTAGTGACAATGATTACAGTAGATGTTTTTATTTCAACTGGGTCAAAATTTTGCTGAATTCTTTGAACTTCAAACAACACTCAGATTTCTGGAACAGGGTAAAAATTAGGTCATCCAGATTCATTTGATTTATTACAATACAATCGACATTGCTAAGCAATGCACAGTGTTGGTAACCCATAAAAGTGGTGTACACAGTATATCACTGGGTATAGTTTATTGGCTTATAAAAAGTAGATGGTTTTACAGGTCAAAGCCTTTTCAGCTATATGATATTCTTTTTGTTTTTAATTTTTCAAATTAGGTTTCTGAACTGGCAGTCAGTAACAAATTTAATTATACTAATACAATCAGTTTAATTCAATCACTACATTTAAAGACGTACAACACACTGGGGGAGATAACTCTTGCAATTTCAATTAAACGTTTAACTTGACGTCAAATTTGACGTTTATAATAAAGCGTCAAAATGACGACCGAATTGATCCCGACGTAATTAAAAGAAAATGGGATTAGGGACTTGATGTGGTTTCTTTAGAAATAGTAAATCGTATCTTTGATTGTTTGCGCTTTTGATGTAAACCCACCCCTCCTTTCATAAAAAGGGAAGAAAAGAAAGATGATGTCTTAAAATTTCTTTAATTTTATAAGAAACTCGTATCCGTGATCAATATTAGCAGAACAATATTCTTTATTTTTTTTATGATACATTGCTTTCTTTTGTTACAGTTGGCTATGTAACATTCGCATTACCAGATCACGGGCCTATCTTAAAATTAAGAATTAACCATATAAATACTCTTTTGTTCTCCTTTTAAGAAAAAAAAAGTTTTATGACCCGTTTCCAAAAGTTCACTGGTCAAAGAGGAACAACTCTAAAAATGTGGGAGATTTTCCCCTCCCCATCTTGAGTTATTTACTCCTGTTTGCCGATCAGTTATGAAGACACATTTAAAATGAATTCTGATGAACTCAGGAACTGAAAACTATAATATATACTAAGTAAGTACCGAAAATGCAATGGAATTGTTTACTGAAATGGTCCGAATTAATGAATATCTTGTATGCGTCAAACTGGCCATATCCGACCATCTAGATCTACAATCTACCTCTGTAAACAATTTCAGTGCGCATTTCCTCGAATCAAAACAAAACGTTAATTTGATACATGTATCACTGTACATGAATATTTTGACACATGAATAATTTACTTTAATTTAATTAAACATAGATGGAGAATTTACAGTTTGATAAATTGAAGTTAATGTAGACGAATACGATATATTTCCATTTTATCTGGGGAAGCAAAAGAAGGATGCATACAAGTGTGTGGGGGGGGGGGGGTTACTTTTAGACCCCTCTCTTGTTTGAAATAAATAAGAAACAATATATTCCATTTACCAGTCTGTTTACATCATAGAAGAGTTGAATTTTCAACATTGTGCGTTCACTTTTAATGAAAAATGAGATTAAAATTCAATGTAAGTTGAATTCATACGCAGGTATAAAATTAAATGCATTTCAGCCATGTGTATGGACTACATATTGGACACGTGGAATTAAAATCCTTAGAGAATAAGTTTTACTTTTATTCTAGTAGTTGATAGTTTAACTCTTATTCTAGTTGTCAGAATTTTAATCTGCATGAATGAATGAATGAATGAATGAATGAATTGGTACTTCAGGGATTTAAAAGATTAAAAATATATCTCGAGGTAACCTATGTTTCATCAAGTTCTAATGACTGCGTCCAAAAAAAAAAGGGGGGGGGGGCTTCGTCAAAAATTGCCTATACATCTGCATTTCAATGAACTGAAAAGTTTTAAGAACTCCGATATATAATGAAAATATTTTTTTTAAAGCAAAAAATATTTTCTAGCTTGGAATTTTTCATGTGTATTTGTAGATCTAACAATGTTTTCGTCCCACATCTGAAAGACGCTTGAGAAACATGACTGAAGGAGAAGGGGGGGGGGTGATTTTTCGCTATAAATTCAAAACGGCTCGTTTAAAAAAATTACAAAAAATTATCAAGATTACTTTTGCAACCAGTTACATGAAAAAAGTATTTTTTCCAAAATTAAACGATAGGTTTTTTCATAAAAAATATTTAAATTAAAAAATACGCATTTTTTTAAGGCTTAAATGAACCATAGTTTTTCAGTTTAAGTTCTTCAAAAAATATTTTGTCAATGAGTACCTCTACAAAAATACTTTATTTAAGTGGATAATGGTTATATGAATGAGTCGATGAAATTTGACGGCCAGACTAGCTCAACTTTTTTGATAATCAAGGATTTTATAGCCAGCCGAATGAAAAATTTCTTCTCCGTGTGTACAACCAAAGGGGGGTAACTTTTGGAACTTCCTGTCCAAATACGACTCGAACGATTTTGTCAAAAATGTGCATACACATTGTATATATAGTCATGTGTAACATATACAAAAATAGCGAAAATTAAACGACAGGAAATTTTTCGTGGTGGGTGTGTTGTACGTCCTTAAAGGTAATTTAATTTATTTTGAACTACCCTGTATATAATCATATTTTTGGTATATTATTTTTGGTACATTTTGGTATATTTTTTGGGGTATATCTTGAAATTGTGACTTTAAAGTTGATATTGTACTTGGATCTAATATAGAATCAGAGTTAACCTGATTGTTTTATATATAACTAATTATATATTGTGTTTATTTCATATAATATCATCAGATATCATTCTTGCATTAATAAAACTATATATTGATGTACAAAACAATTAGGTTTTACTAAAGTTCCTTTAGATTACTGTAAAATAGCTTATTTTTGTGGGGTCAAATTTTCATGGTTTGTGAAAAAAATACTGATTTGAGCCAATCCAGGGGATTGAATTTCATGGTTGGTATAGCCATACATGATACCTGATACTGTACTTTGTAATTTCAACATTTCATTTAGGACACGGATTCATGGGTCTCTTCATACCACGAAAACACACAACAAAAATTATCCCCCATGTTACAATGCAGAATGTAATAAACTGGGATTATTACATTTTGTGTCGATATCAAGGCAGAATGTAATGAAGCAAAATGTAAAAACAGACTTGTTATGATTATGACATTTTGCGTTGTTACATTTTGCATCAAGTTTAGGCAAAATGCAACAATGCAAAATGTTTTAACACACTTTTTGGTCAGTCAGGTTTAGAATAATTTTCAATTGAGTAGTGGATGAAGAAAATAAACGGAAAGAAAATAAAACAAAAGGAAAAATAAACATATGCCAATTCTTACATTAGATCTGATTTCATTATATATTGATTTCATGAGTCATTTAAAATCAGTTGATATTCAGATCATGGGTATTGCAAATTAGAAATGTGTGTGGGGGTGGGGAGTTGTTATTTCATTGATCAGTGTATCAGTTTGCTTTTGCTTTTTGATAGGCATATGCCTGAAATTTACTGGCAGGTGTAGATATAGCGGGAAGAGGGTTTCTTGACAATTGAGATTTCATACTGTTTTACAAATCATGTGCATTGCAGACCAGCATAAATAAAATTCTCTCTTCAATAATAAAATGGATAGTTTCTGCATGTGCATAAAAATACAATGATCAACATAAGAAGTAACCCCTACCCCTTGCTTCTCCTCGCCAGACACACACTCATGCACTTCTTATTGGCTAACCAATGTACACATGCATGTCGTACATGCGTATCAAGATTCAAGAGCTTTTAATGTACCCATGGTCAATCTTTGGTAATTAGAAATGTCAGTGTTGGATATATAATACAGACTGATTTATAGACAGACATGTCAATCAAAGTTAAGTTAATGTTTTCTAAGTATTCAATAAAAGTGTTAGAAAGAGAGTTTAAAAATATACTATTAATGTAATGTCTGTAAAAGCGGTAACGTTTGTCTTAAAGCCCTAGGTCTGTCTGTCTATTTAGTAAAGTGAGTTTCCACATTGTTATATGTTTAAATCAATTTTGTGAGGTTTCGCATTGAACACAAGAGAAAAAAGAAAACAATATTTTGTTTTATTACATTTTTTATGCCCCGCCATGAACATGGTCGGGGCATATAGTGTTTGTCATGTCCATCTTCCGTCTGTCCTTCCGTCACACTTTGCATTTAGCTCTGTTCAAAGCTCAGTTTGAAAGAAACTATCCAAGATATTTTTATCAAACTTCATATGCTGATAGATATTGATGAGAGCTATGCAACTGCATCAACATTTTTTTACCTTGACCTTTCCTTTGACCTTGACCTCACTTTTCTTAAATTAGTGTCAAACTTCATACGCTGATACATACTGATGTAAGCTATTCAACTGCATCAATATTTTTTCACCTTGACCTTTCCTTTGACCTTGACCTCACATTTCTCAATTTGTGTTAAAATGTTGCATTACTACATGTAATATACCCTCGGCGGGGCATTCATGTCTATGGACATATTTCTAGTTTCAATTATATTTTGAGTTGTCCTTAACACAAAAATTAAGTAATGCAAAATGTAACAACCAAAAAGAGCATTATTACATTTTGCGTTTAGATCAACGCAGAAAGTAACAAAGCAAAATGTAATAATTCAAAAATCGTGTTATTACATTTTGCATTATTACATTCTGCGTTGATCTCGATGCAAAATGTAATAATGCAAAATGTAATAATCCCAGTTTATTACATTTTGTGTTGTTATTACATTTTGCATTGTAACAACCCCATGAAAAATTGTGATTTCACAGTGTGCTGCTAAAATATGTAGACTAGTGTGTGAAATGCTTAGGGCATCACTGGTCACTGTTTAGCACATGGTAAATTGCAGTTGACTTATTTCTAGAACAATGTGAACTTTCACGAAGCTTTTACAAAACTTGGCAGATATTTTCTGATTGCAAACTTCATGTAAAATTGTAAATATGTACCATGTGGTCAAACTAATGTCTATGAGCATGCACAGTAATCATGCAGTGCCATGTTGTTTACAATGTAGGCCTTGAACATGGCGTAGGAGTATTTGTCTAGTCAACATACACTGACATACTCTTTTTAACAATGTAGGCTTTGAACATGGAGTAGGAGTGTTTGTGTCTCATGTAAATCCAGGCTCACAGGCAGAACAGAAGGGGCTTAGGGTGAGTACAACTCCATAATATGTCACATCAGTGATGCCAAATATCTAGTGTCATGATCGATCAATGATTACCAATGAAATATGGAGATAGCGAACAATAATCAAGCTCAGAAATCCATTGAAACAATACAAATCAGGAGCAGAGCAAACATGGACCTCTAAAAACATCAGAGTTGGGATCAGGTGCCATGGAGGAGTAAGTATCCCCTGTCAACCGGTCACAACTGCCATGTGCTCTGTCATGATTGGGCAAACAGAAAAATCTGTAGAAAATTCAGTGTGTAACTAACGGCCTAACAATTAGTATGAAAAATGTCAGTCAGCATTCGACTTAATGATAGATTGTATTTGCTGACAAGGTCATTGTATAGACCGTAGAAATGTTGACTTCAATGTTGACGAGACTGTTGATAACCATAAATGCTATTTCTCAGTGTAATGGCTTTTATATATCAATCATTATGGGAAATGCTTGAATTATTCTGGATTTACATAGCATTACTGACAAAATTATTAGATAACATCATAGCTTTGATTTGTATACATATAATATTGGTTATAACTCTGGGATGAGTTTATACAGCTGAACTTCGGTATCTTGAACACAGATATCTTGTATACCATGGATATGTTGAAGCGATTTGGAAGTTCTAAGCACTTTTTCTTTAAGCATTCTACCCTCAATATCTTGAATATCTCAAAGTTTTTTCTCAGTCCCATTGAGTTCCAGATAAGGAGCTTTGATTGTGTATCTGAAAAGCAAGGCCAATAAGTATATCTGTATTTGTGAGAAGAAAAAGTATCCCCAAATCTGTGTGTGAAAGAAATTTAATACTTTTTAAAGATACACAAAATCTGTTGACAGGTAGGAGATGAAATAGTGCGGGTTAATGGCTACACCATAGCAGAAGCTGTCCATGAGGAAGTGCTAAACCTAATCAAAGGTCAAGATGAGATCGAGCTCAAGGTCACCAGTAAGTATAACTCTATTTAAAACTGATTATAGTGTACATGTACTTGTTCAGCTTGTATATGCAACGAAATCTTACGAAACGAAATGAAACCTACCGAAATGAAACAAAACGAAACAAATCAAAACGAAACTTACCGAAACGAAATGAAAACTACAGAAATAAAATCGAGCAAAAATGAAATATATATATATAAACATTATGATTTAAAATATATTATATAGTGTATATTTTATAAGTAACGAGTCTCTTTTGATACGCAGTGAAAGATAAAAAAGATTTTGTGCGTTTCTAAACGTGCACATTTGTAAGTATGGATTACACTTTTAAATAGATATTGCTCATTTTAGTGCAAAACAAACACATAAGACTAAGCCTATACATATAACCCAAGTTATCACTTTCGGGTTCTTGTTAATACAATCAATTTGTATGTATACTTGTATACTCAAAATCAGATTTTAAGACCTGGCGATTCTTGATCTGCTTTTGCCCAACACCAAACTATATCAGATCACACACTTTTATAAACAGTAATTTAAAAGCAGAGGATAAGCATTTTTTTTAAAAAAAAAATAAAAGTACAGTAAAACTGCAACATCAAATTTAAATTAAATTCAAAGCATACATTTATCGAAATTAAAATTCAATTTTTATCAAATCATTTGAACAAGCCTTGAAACCACCAGAGGAGGAGGGGGGGGGGTCCTTCTCGGAACTACCTCTCAAATAAAAATAAAAAAAGCTGGACCCGACAATAATCAAAAGTATAATAATAATTAGGCTTTGTATAATTGATCACATATGTATAACAACAATGCACTTTTTTTCATTTAACTCAATGTACAATTTTTTTTTTTTTTTTTTTAAGTTATGTTTAAAGACATTCGCATTACAACAGTACAGTAACTTTATTTCGATACGTAAATAGAAAAGCTTTTACATGTAGCACATCAATTATGAGAAATTTATTGTATTTCGATGGTTAAAGGCTAAAAATAAAAGTAAGACATAAAAATTAGAGAATACTACGCTTATTTTGAAATGAGTATTTTGAAATTATATAGTATGCTCGTGCATATTTGTAGCTGGCAGTTGATTTACAGTATATATAAGCATGTATAAGTAAATACATCACTAGAGAAGGGAGCATTTATCGGTGTTTAAATATTATATTAACAAGTGCTTGAACTATATAAATTTTATATGAAGTAAAAATAGTCCATGTACAGTTACACATTATATATAATGATATACCTTGATTTGAAAACATTCTGTTTCGTTTCGTTTCGGTAGGTTTCATTTTGAGTTCGTTTCGTTTTGTTTCGTTTCGGTAGGTTTCGTTTCTATTTCGTTTCGCATTTTACAGGTTCCCGTTTCGTTTCGGTAGGTTTTGTTTCATTTTGGTAGATTTCGTTTCGTTTTGTTTCTGTTTCGTTTCGCACTTTACAGGTACATTTGTACCCGTTTTTGTCGTGTTATTTCATATTTTGGCTATTTCAAATGTCAGAATTTTTTGTAATAATAGTAATTATCTAAACCAGTAAAGCAGCACAGATTTTATCCATCTGTACTTGGAATTAGACATTTTTTCTTTATAACAACTTACATGTAGGTCTTGGAATTTTCACTTGATTAGAAAGATTCTTAACAAAACTTTCCTAAATATCTCCTGATTACTCTTTATTTTTTCCAGATATTGGGATGTTGCCTGTAAAAGAGTAAGTGGACCTAGATTTGTGTATTGATTTTGATTACTAGAAAATCAGAGTATTCTATATTAATATCTAAATTCATAGTTCATAATTGTATTCTTTCAAACAATATGTCTTAAAATGAAGAATCACACACAATGTATAATTAAAGAGAAAGAAATAAAAGACTGACTGCATGTTGTACTTATAAGGTTGATAAATATGTACATACATATAAAGCTAGTATATTGTTTACAGACGAGCCACAGATCCCCTTACCTGGTCCTATGTAGACAAAACTCTGAAAGGTGTCAAGGGAGCTTCAGTAAGTTAATGTATTTCTTGTAATTTTCATATTATTTGGGGTAATTATTATCAATAACTTAAAATTTCTTGTAAAATACTGTAAAGTCACAGGAAAACTATGGGTTCGTGGGGATTAGGTTTCATGGATGAAGAATTATTGAGTGGATACAGTAAAACTCGTTTAGTACAAACATGGATATTGCAAATTCACGGATATAGCGAAGTTTTTTTGGATCCCCAGCTATATAAATGTTACAAATTCCTTATACAGATATTACAAATTATGGATATAGCGAAGTAATTTCACAGGTCCCAGCGACTTCGTTATAACAGAGTTTTACTGTAAGTACACGACATATTAAATTTTGTGGTGGACATGAATTTGGAGTCTCCTCATACCTCTAAAACAATGAAAATTACCCCCCCCCCCCCAAAAAAATGAGTGATTACACAGTATTTAGAGTAAACTCATGGAAATACTGTATCTCACAGATTTACTAGTTATCTTTAAGTATATTTTGAGAGTTTCTTTTAGCTGTTTGCTAGTTTCGAAAGACAAATGTAACCAGTGTTTGTTTTGATAGGAACATTTACTGAGAGGACGGGAGGAGAAAGCAGAAGAAGTGAAGCTGTTTGTGAATCTGAGACAATCCCCTTCCCTTGGTTGCAGGTACAGTGTATCACCTATTATATTGTGAAAGGTTCTCTTGTAACAGCTTATAATCAACCTTTTTTAACTTGGAACATGTACATGTGATAGTTTTATTACTGAATGGATCCTTAAAATTGTGATTTATTGGCTCTGATCTGCATGTCAGATGTCAGAAGCAAATCTTAGGCAAGGAATGAGTTTTGCAATGATAATGATAATTAGTCAACTACAGTAAATTAAACACTGAACAGCAACAGCTGCATACAATTTGTGGTACAGACAGTAAACTTTCCTAACTGTGTTGCAGAATAGTAAGTGGACCATCCAACTACAGAGGCATATTTGTTGAACATGTCAACCCAGGATCAATGGGGGCAGAGGTGGGAATAGAGGCAGGGGATCAAATTGTTAGTGTTAATGGTACCAGCTTTCTCAACATCTCCCACCAAGAGGTAAACCAACCTTATCCAGTCATTTCTTCACATAGGTGACTGTAATAAAATGCTTAATTATTGAAACTTAAATGTGTATGGATGTTATGATTTTGTTTAAATTTTGTTAAAAATTTTTATTGTGTTATTAGCTGACAAGAGTATTTGATGCAAAAAATGTGTATTTGGGTTTTGGACTCTGTTGAAAATCAGGACAAAAATCTATTTTTCAGGCAATTGTGGCGTTAAAGAGCAGCAAGGAACTGAATCTTGTTATCAGAAAAGGAGTGGTATGCCTTCTTTCAAAATATTTAGAAATAAATGTTATTAATGTAGCTTAGATTTTGTGGAATTATTAGTGCTGTAGATCACTTGTATTTGAATAACTTTAATCTTGCAAAGCAGTATCAATTTCTTATTCACAAAATATAATCAATTTGTATTCACCACTGATAAGGATGTGTAATGAGATACATATTTCTCCTGTTATTGTTCAAAACTTTATATCCCATCTTGAACAATCTAACAAATTAATCCATCATTTTTGTGTATGGTTAATGATGAATTGCCTTCCTAGAGCAAGCTGTTAAATACAATCTCTTAAAAATTTGATATTTAAACATTCAGGTGATTTAATTCTCCCAGTCTAACTTCTCAGTAGAAAGGGAGAGCACTCTTAGTCTCTTAAAGGATCTAAAAATTGTAGACTGTCCAACTTTGCAGGGTCTTCCTCTGTTTGCTGCTGCTGGGGAGCCAAGCAAACCAAAGACCCAGGTAACAAAGGCACAGTTAGAGACCCTACCCTCAGGAAGTGGGAGGTATGACTCGGATGATTCGGGGGATGAAAACACTGCTGTGTTAGATATGGGATCCTAAGACCAATTCTGATGACAAATGATAGTTTAATATTAATTAATTCAAACTGCATGTAATGATTGAAATTTTGTTTTACATTTTCTGTTTGATTCCAGATACTTGTATTTATTTACATTTAGCACTGACTGTTATGTGTAAACTGAATGTCACCTGACCTCTGTTGCAATTATCAATCACTTTTGATTTCTTTTATCACAGGAAATAGACTACCAGAAAGTCAGTAGGCTTGTAAAAGTAAGGCTTACACATATGTTTTTAAAAGGATATGCATTAATTTCCAAGGTGTGCATTTAATTGACTTATTAATATTATTCAATACTAACAAGGGACGTTCCTGTACATGTAGATGCACAAATTGCATGCCTCGATCCCACTCCATAAGTTAATGTAACTATATTAATTGGAACTTGGGTGTGGAATTTAAAAATTTTTTTTAATGTTCTAGATTCAATTAAAAGAAACCCTCGTAGAAATCACTCTTTTGACAATGTGTATTACTAACTCTCTTTTTACACATAATTGTTGTGCAATTCATTTTCATTAGAACAGTTCTTATTTTCAATATTGATTATGAAATAAAATTTATTTCTAGCTTGAAAATAATTTCAAAGTACTAACCTACATAATGCTTTAAGGTCTGACGACACGTTCCTCAATGATCTATAATTTTTTCGGAGAATTTGTCGTTGAAGTATTGGTACCGTATATACTCACCTATAAGTCGGTTTTTTGGGAGATAAACTTTGGTCCAGAACTCTTTATCCGACTTATATGCGAGTTATAAAAAGATTGGTATTTTAGCAGGTCGATCCGTCTAATTTAAGCTTAAAAAATACAACTGACTTATAGGTGAGTATATACGCTTCTTTAAGAAGTTTCCTCCCACAAAAAATTAAGGTACCTCACCAGGCATTTGTGCAAGATACCAGAGGATGCTATTTACTATATAATCCTATTGGAAATTACTAGCATTGCCAATATCAAGTATTTGGTGCCTTTATCTGCTTATACAATTTGAAAACAGTTTAAAATCACAAGACAATGATAATTATGATTAGTTTATTGTATATCATGAGGAGATACAAAAGAGATATTTGAGCAACGTGTTGTCAGACCTTAAACTGAAGGTTGAATGAAATATGTCGTCAAAGTGTTTTTGGTCTTTAAATTGTGATCATGGTTGTATGGTGTAATGCACTAGCTTTAGAGTTTTATTTTTATAATAAAATAAGAAACTTTTAACATGCTTTGTTTTTGATTGATGACTGTTTTTAATGGATTTTGAAAGTGCTGAAGGCAGAATGAACCATTTCACAAACTAAGAATATAATTAATTGATTAAGTATGGTGTATTCACTAATGCTATAGACTCTTTGGTATGGGTTTGTACTAACATTGTTTATACTACTCATATCTGGAGAGTTGAGAATGTTTTGTAGAGAATTATCATGCAAAAGCTGTAATACACTCAGCACAATATTTAATATCCATACTACATGCATATTATTTTAGATTATTTTACAGTTCAGATGTATATACATGTATCAATTATACATATTTTGAAAGATATAATATAAAAAAAAGGGAGGATGGGGGTTAAATTGCATATGCTGAGTTTGGAGAGTCTTCAATTTCTATATAGAAAATGAATTTTCAATACACAATTTTAAAATTTTAAAAAAAAATTTTTGGATTTATTCTTCATGTATATTATCTAACCTGTCTTCTGAAAAGTGTTCTAGAATTGGACAACTGGACTTTAAGAGGTGCAGAATCAGAAATGGGTATGTCAGTTTGAAAATGATACTTTCTGTAATTTCATTTTACTGAAATTTGTTGGTGAAAAATATACCCATACATGCACTAGTAATACTGATCATTTTACTGAAATCTGTTGATAAATAATCAAATATTGATGGATACTTTTCAGAAACTGAATTGATACTGGCAGAATTGGCTAGACTCAGATGGAAACAGAAGAGGATATCTGGTCGATCCTTCCAGAAACAAGAAGCCGTGGAAGACACTGATGCAGAAGACAATGTCTGCATTGTAGGGAAGGAAGAAAAAGAAATTTATGATCAAAATAACCAAGGACAGAATAAAGACCCTGAAACAGTCCCTTCTAAATCCATGGATTACTTAACTGTCCCAAATCAGCATCAAAATAACACTTCTTCTCACCAGAAAAAGAAGTTGGACAGACATGATTCATTTAATTCTGATTACACACCTGAGAAAGTTGAAAGCAACTCAAGTCCCTTAGACTATCTCTCAGTTCCCTCACACCTATTTCCAAATGACACTCCTGCTCAACAGAGGAAAAATTCCAGTGATTCTCAGAGTAATGAGGACCTGACTAGAAATACTGAAGCAGACATTGAAGATACTTTTATAGAAATTCCTGTACCACATTTTGAGGTTAATTCAAACACACCTTTGGGAACTGTTAGCAAAGAAAGGGCCTCAATGGAGGACTTAGTAAAACAGCTAACAGAAAACACAGAGGATGATGAAAATGATGCCAATCTGGCCAAGAAGATACAGATGAAAAGTAATTCATTACAAACTATGCAAATAAAAAGTCATTCATTGAGAAGGATAGAAAAGGAAAGAAGAGCAGGGGTTGATGCTTTCTCTATTGAAGACAGGAGTCCAGTTATGAAAAGAAGAAATTCCAACAACAACAGAAGAAAGAAAGGGAAAGAAGCAAAGGTTGTGCAGTTTGTAGAGGATGAACCTGAGTTGATCGATTCTAGGAAAACATCACTCAAACTAAAGAGCAAAGAGATGACATCCATGAAAAGAGGTGATTTAGATACAGGAGAAGAAAAGCTTAAACTATTGGAAGAGATCCAGCAACTTAGGGAAGAAAAACTACACGAAACAGGTTAGTTGATATCAAAGAAGGTAATGCAAGTACAAGATTCATCTGAAAACATCGAAGAATTATACCAAGAGATGTGAGTCCAAGTATCCAAATGTTTTCTCAAGAAGATTGTACCTGATGTGTTTTTTTTATTTATTTATTTTTTTTAAAAAGGTTAAATATATTTGTAAACAGAGAAGTTGAATTATATTTCAGAAAGAAGGAAAGAGCTTGAAGACACTTTAGAGTCCATGAAAAACTGGGAAACAACTCAAAGACTTCAAAAAGTTTTGGATGAGAAGAAAAAGAAACAAGCCAGGGAAGCAGAAAAGCTTAGACAAGAGGTAAAATAAAATAGGTAGAACTGAATGTTTTTGTGAAAAATAAATGACATTTATAGGCAAGTCCCAGTTTTCACTGGCACAAAGGACAAGTACACTTAAGCAATGCTTAATGGGCCCTTTTTCAGTGCCATTTTACTTTAGAAGATATTACCAAATTGTTCTTTTTTGGTAATTATTAAACACAAGTGGATATTTCTAATTAAAATCACATAAAAACGTCACCTAAATCAGCATGGATTTGAAACAAATGAAGATTTTTACATGCCTATAGATACCCCAAATCTGGAAAAGTCGTACCAAACCTATTTTGAGTTTCGTTTATTTAAATCAAGGGGAGGAGACATTTAAATTGGAAACTTGAACAATCTGATGGTGGATCATTGACAGGCGCGTTTTCCGAATGACAATCTTGCGCTATTTAACCTGAGAAAAAAAAATCGAAGTTGTATATATGCCTGTAGCCATAGTGTTCAAACTAAGAAATTTGCACGCTTGCATTTGAAATAATACAGTAAGTATCAACATTAGTTCTTTTAAATTTTGAAATGAAAAAATGTGTATTTAGGTAGCTTTCATTACCGGTACCATTGTCTTGCATGAATGTTTAAAATGTTTGACGTTTTTATGTATGATGACATTTTAACGACACTAAACTCTCCTAACCCTCCCGTGTTCATAAAACCAAATACATACAAACTTCTCTATGCGGCACGACTTCGATATAATGATACAGAACGTGGCTATCTTTTACGGTGAGCACCTTTGAGGAATATTTACCTGGGTAGAACTCGCATGACTACCGGTATTTTAAATAATTTATTCCACGGGTGGGTTCAACAAAGGTCATACATGTAAATAGCTCTCGTTTGTTATAGGAAAAAACATTGAACTTTTCATACATTTTTAGTTTTTTAAGTACAAGCCTAATCTTGTACAAATTTCCTACTTTCACACAAGTTTAATAAATGTATAATGCGCTTTTTGTGGTTCGCACAAGTTTGTACAATGTTAGGCTTTACAGTAAACAAAAGCTTTGAAATGAATGACCGTCCTCGATTTACTATAGAAAATTATGAATGTCGGCTGACCCCTACCACTTTGTAAGGCTTTGCTCTTTGTATATTCATGAATTTCACCGATAAAATTTGTTGAATCTTATGGTTTAGATATCAATTAATGATCTGAGATGAAAAATTATGCTTAATTTGATTCTTCATTTTTTCACATTTTACCGGGGCCCATAAGTGCACTCGTTCTTTGACCCAGAACTACTTTTAGAGACCAGTTCCTAAATTATGCTGTACTATGTTAATTATTTTACATGCACCAATATATAAAGAGTACAGTAAAACATGCTTATAGCAAACACATTTATTATGAATTGACGCTTATAGGGAAGATTTTCATTCCCCGTTGGTTTTAAACATATTGTGAAGCTAACAGATATAACCAATTTCGTTCATAATGAAGCAATTTCACCCATTCCTGGCACTTCGTTATAAGCATGTTTTACTGTATTAACGAGATTTTTTTCAAAATGTTTCCTCCCTTACCTGGTTAAAAGCTGTCATCACTATATAGGCTTATCAAAATGACCTTGATCTTTGATATATTAACCTGAGTCAAGGTCATTACACACTTTTAGGTCATTAGTAATAACATGCTCAAATTAGTTCCAATGAAGAGTTTGAAAGATAGAGATTGGTTAGGATTTCATTATCTCATTGCTCAGTGTTCTTGAACTTAAACTATGTCCTTGAGTCAAGACCCTGATACATCTGATGGTCTTCAAAACTTTGTATGTATTTGTGTGTGTTTGTCATCAGACTGGGTGTTAATTAAATTTCTTGTATTATATTTACTGGAATAATTTGAAACCAATGGTTTTTTTTAACACGTTCTTTGTAGATGTTTGAAAGTAACAGAAAACGGAGACAGGGCTTAGAAAAAGAACTTTTATTAAAAGTTTCTAGAAACAGAAAAGAAAGAGAAAGAATGATCCGCTATCAGAGGCAAAAGCAAGAACAAGAGGAAATGCTGAGGGAGGGCGCCATGGTAGATATGTAGTTATACGAGGGTGATATTGAAAATAATATAAAATTAATATAAATTGGAAAAATAGAAGAAATTTGTTATCTCTGAAATTTCAACAGATTTTAAAGAGAATGTTCACTATGATCTCTTGTTTTGTTTTTTAGAGTAACTTTGTGCAGTCTATGTTACACATGTGGAGGCCTCACCTTAGTCCAAAGTCATCAGTCATGGAACAGGAGAGTATGGACAATGTGGAGGTACATGAGGTCATAGTTATATGTACTTTTCTACCATGTTGTCTATTTTGAGTTAACTTGCTTGATATAATGAGTCACTTCATTGTAACAAAATATATCTAGTTCCTTGCTTAAACCTAGTTAATTATTGCCCTGTTCTGTTGACAACCTATAGTGATTAGTTTGTTCATTCTTCTGTTCTTCTGTTCAGCAGCTATAATTACTTGTTCAGAGTATACTGTCTCTTCCCTTTGCTAATTTGGCCCATACTTCACTCACAGAGTGCCTTTAGGTAAAGAATGTGCAATGGCCTTCAACCAAATTTATTGATCAAAATAAGCATTTCGTAAATGACCCCATTTAAAAATCTTTATCTCAAGAACTACTAGGCCAGAAAAGATGAAACTTAAGTGAAATTGTAGATTTAAGTTTCTTCAAATCATGGCCCCAAGAGGGTAAGGCTGGACCACAATAGGGGATCAAATTTTTTTTCAAGGAAACATATAGGGAAAAATCTTTAAAAAACTTCTGATGAAGAGCAGCTCAGTCATGATCAGTCATATTGATATGCTAGCATCTTCTTGTAATATAGATTCATGTTCAAATTATGACCCCTGGAAAAGGAAGGGGCCACAATATGAGGTCAAAAATTTCCAAGAAATCAGCAGTGTTGCCGTAGCTACTTAAAATAATTTGTAATTTCTTTCAAACTGCTACTCCTCTTACATTTTTTTCTATTTTAAATAAAATTTCAACATATATTTAACTACATATAGGTATTTAATTCTTTATATCAAATTTTGAATCTGATGGTTTGAATGGTTACTAAACTAGACTTCTTCATTCAAAATACTAATACACCTACAATTTTGGTCTGATTGGAGTAAAACTTATTACAAGTTTTAAAAAAAAGATCACAGTTGCACAGTTCTGTTACTGTTAACTAAAAATATATTACATTTAAGTTCAATCGCAACCTTAAGACTAGTTCTATCAAAACCATTACATTTAAGTTCAATCGCAACCTTAAGACTAGTTCTATCAAAACCTCTGATAATATTTATGTGTTTTCTCATTGTGTTTGTGAATTTACAGACAGAGAAAGGTACAAATCTAACAGACCACATAGATGACCAACTGTATTCCAGGATCCACAAATCCTCATCATCATCAACATTACCATCTGACAGAAGTCAAGGAAAGGTTGGTTTTAGAGGCTTGAAAAAGTACTTTTATTAGCTCACCTCGACCAAGTCGAGATGAGCTTATGCTATACCCAGGGCGTTGGCGTCGGCGTTAGCATCGGCATCCCGGTTAAAGTTTTAGGAGCAGATCCATTCCCAAGTAACTATAAGCCCTACCTGGACCAAACATGCATGGATGATGCATCTAGGGATGGACACTACCACACTTGCTTCTGATGCTGGATCTGACCTAGATTTTCCAGATGAGTGACCAGGTTAAAGTTTTTGGAGCAGGTCTATTCCCAAGTAACTATAAGCCCTACCTGGACCAAACTTGCAGGGATGATGCATCTAGGGATGGACACTACCACACTTGCTTCTGATGCTGGATCTGACCTAGATTTTCCAGATGAGTGACCAGGTTAAAGTTTTTGGAGCAGGTCTATTCCCAAGTAACTATAAGCCCTACCTGGACCAAACTTGCAGGGATGATGCATCTAGGGATGGAAACTACTACCCTTGCTTCGGATGCTGAATCTGATCTAGACTTTCCAGATGAGTGACCAGGTTAAGGTTTTTGGAGCAGATCCATTTCCAAATAACTATAAGCCCTACCTGGACCAAACTTGCATGGATGATGCATCTAGGGATGGACACTACCACACTTGCTTTGGATGCTGGATCTGACCTAGATTTTCCAGTTGAGTGACCAGGTTAAAGTTTTTGGAGCAGTTCCATCCTAAGTAACTATAAGCCCTACCTGAACCAAACTTGCAGGGATGATGCATCTAGGGATGGGTACTACCACACTTGCTTCGGATGCTGAATCTGACCTAGATTTTCCAGATGAGTGAATTTTAGCCCGGTTTTAATCAAATTAGCATGGATGATGTTTCTTAGGATGGACACTTTCAGACTTGTTTTGAATTCTGAATCTGACGTATATTTTCCACATGAGTGACCAGGGTAATGTTTTTGGAGTAGCTATATAATATTATGGCATGTTATGATCAAACTTGCTCGGATGATGCATCTAAGGATGAAAACTTCCAGACTTGCTTTGGATGTTGGAACTGACCAAAATTTTCTTGATTAGTAAACAGGTTAAAATTTTTATTAGCAAGTCTATTTCCAAGTAACTATAAGTCCTTCTTAAACCAAACTTGTATGGATATTGATCTTGGGATGAAAACTAACTAGAAAAAATATGATGTGAGATTTGCCTTACTTATAGATAACCTTCGTCGAGGTGAGCTTCGTACTCTTTGATTACCTATGTTTGTATATAACATATATTTAAATGAGATCTTCTGTATATCTTCAATATTTTCTTAATTTTACCATCTTCACATGTTTAATATTTTAAATGCTAGATACTACACAAACTACCTGCGTAAATTAAAATAAATCATTTGGGTGCTCCACATGCATTAAACTCTGAGAGAGAGAGAGTGTGTGTACTTCATTTTATACAAAAACAAAGAAACTTCTTCCAAGATGTCCATATCTTGATCTGAAATTTAAATATAGTTACAGCTGTGCAAGTATAGTATAGTATAGAAATTTCTTATACCTCATAAAATTTTGTTTCAATTTCAGACAAAACAAAGGAAAAGGAAAGACAAACTGCTGTCAAGGTACAAAAAAACCCTAAATATCACACAATTGAAGTTTTATGTATTTGTTATCAGAAAAGCTTCATTTATTACACTGTATTATTTTTCATTTTTCAGGAAATCTTCCTCATTTGGTAAGTCATAAAAATAAAATACATTCATACAGTACAAAGTTTCTTCTGAAAAATAATTACAATGACAATGCTTTCTCTCTAAATTATAGACCTCAGCACACATTCTAATGACCTTGACCTCTATGAGAGATCCATTGACCTACATCCAGACCTCAACATTTCATCACAAATTGATGATGATTTATTAAATAGCTATGATTTTGCTCAGTCAGGACATCAGCCAAATAATGTAGTTACTACAACTGTATGCATCTGAGGTGGTGTACTTCACTGCAGATACAGACAATACAATGATGAAATGTACAGATAAAAGGAATTTAAAACTTGTACATGTATCCATGAAATTATTGATGTGGGAACATATCACTTGTTAGGATGATGAAACAAACATGAATCTGTGTAAAAATATTATGACATGAAAATTGAACATATTCTTGAATGTGTCATGATTCATCCTGAACAATGGAATTGTTGTAAAACAATATGTATTATGCCAATGACAGCACTTAGAAAGTTGCACATTTGAAACTTGTTTGCTGTGGCCTTCACTTCGGTAACAGATTGGTCTACTGCAGCAATCCGCCCACCTAACAACCAAAGATTGGACACTCATTATAATCATGTAAAGAAATATACTCTTTACTTTACAGCAAATATACAGTTAAACACGCTTATAGTGAAAATGCTTATAGTGAATTGATTTTCATTCCCTGTGGCTTTGAAACTTATTGTAAACCTAACGGCTATAACGAATTACGTTTATAATGAAGCAACATCAGTCCCTGGCACTTTGTTATATGCGTGTTTACTTTATGTTCACAGAGTAGTACAGTAGTTCAGACAGGGTATATGTTAGAGTGTTAGCAAACACATTTTCTCACAGAAATTTTGTGTAGAAAGGCTTATGTGTGTTAAAATGCTCTGTTAAGTTGATCTCACCTAGTGTGAAGTAGATAAGTTCACTCAGTGTTCCATCCCCACCAGTACTAAAGCCAAGCACCCTTAGTCGGTAGAGGTAGTTCTTCTGAATTCCATAAATAATGGCATTGTCTACCTTGGTCACACGCACATCTGTTGCTGTTCTTATGTCATCTCCATCCAACCAGTAACGAAGCTGTTTATTTGTTTATTTATTTAATTAGACATGTAATTTAAAAATAATTCTTTTAACATATGAAATATTCATGAAGTGAAGTTTAATATTTCATTACCAATGTAACTTCAGTTTGTGAGTGTTTATGTAGAAAAATAAAAAATAAACTTAGAACAAAAAATGTTTTTTTGTGTTTCATTACCCCCAAGTATATATGGTGAAAATATAACAATTATGATGTTGGTGTCAAGAGAGATTTAACAGATTTAACAGGAGTACATAATTACAATTCATAACAAGGAGGATGTGCACAGAAAAAACAAAAATAAATTTAAAGTTTCCGTCTGGACTGGGGGTTAATTACTGTGTATTATTTAAATTATGGCTCCAATGTGAAAGCACTTCATGTATTTTATATTTGATTTTTTTTATCTCTTCTGAGCCAAAGGCTCAAAGAGCTAATGCTATGGCCATTTGTGCCGTGTGCGGTGTGCGTAAACTTTTAAGAATATGGGCCATAACTCAAGAACCCCTTTGCCAATTATTGTCAAATTTGTCACAGGGTATCCTTGGCCCAAGGGCTCCCTTTTGTACTAAAACTAGGGTTGTGACCCTTAAACAAGGGGAGATAATTAGGAAAATAGAAACAAAAGTACTGGTTGCTAAAAAATCTTCTCAAGAACCACTGGGCAGATTATCGATAAACTTACACAAAAGGATGAGGATATGTTGTAGATTAAAATTTGCAGGGGGATTTACCCTTGGGCAAAGGGCATGGTCTCAAGGTCACTTCAAAGTTGACCAAAAATTACATTTTATTAAAATGTTGATATTTTGCTTACTATAAGGACTAGGATCATCAAATCTTGTCAGTTGATGCATCTAAGGACATCATATCATGTTGACTCAAAATTAGGTCACGGTGACCTACTTTTTAAATTTTGCGGCCATTCTTTTTCAAAATGATTTAGAGGCATATTTTGAACAATTTAAGGACATTGGCAAGTCAGGGTTTTCCGGAGAGAAAAAAGGTTTAATACATGGGTTTTTTCACTTATAAATAGTGATTGAGAGTGATCTCCTGTGTAGAATTCTCTAAGCAGTGAAACGAATAAAGCGAACGTTACAGAGGAAAACAAAAGCACGTGAACTTCCTTCAACGGGTAAAATCTTCTATACAGCAAGAAAGAAAAGTAGTAATGGCTTTGTTGTACAATGTATTCAGAGGACAAAGAGCCAACAGGTCGTCATTTACCTTAGTTATACTCGGTATGCTAGGAAGGGCAAAGATGTGACATATGCTGAAAGGTAGACCAACTGAGATCAGTTCCTAGGTTGTATGAAGGAAGCAGCATTTAGTAACTATGAATAAAAATTAAAACAAATCTGTGCCAATATTTTTATGACAATGTGTTTCAATCAATTCAGTCAATTAAATGATAGAATAATCAACCAGTCTGACTATCTTCACCATTATGAATAATATGTAATCATAGCTGTTAAGGGAAGTAACTTGAAAATAAAGATCGGTGCCGGTATGACCTTGTCTTGTTTCTATATATACATTTTCAGCCAAAATATCTAGAAGTCATAGTAAATGAAGATGCAATAATGTATATAATACAAAAACTGTATGAAATAAGTTGGTTTTGAAGAAATATTATGGTAAAAAATTATGTAGCTCCTTTTTATCAACATTTTACATAGGAAATGCACTGAGAATTGCAAAAACACAGATTTGACAAAATCTAAAAAAGAAGGCTGGCTTGGTAGGTTAAACAATCCAGAATATAGCCTGTTTAGTACAATTAAACCTACTCAAGAGTTCTTGAAAAATTCTATACGATAACCAGGAACCTTGCCAATGTCCTTAAGGCCTATGATCATCAAACTTTGTCAGCTGATGTATCTTGGGTCTTCAAAGTACGTCAACTAAAAAGTAGATCACCTTGACCTACTTTTTGAACTTTATGGCTTATCTTTTTCAAAACAATTAAGGTCATTAATTCGAATACCGAGAGGTTTAGAATCATTAAATCTTGTAAGATGATGCATCTTGGGGCCATAAAACATATTTATACTTTGCAGGCATTCGATTTCAAAGCGTTTTAGAGACATAATTTGGACATTTTAAGGCCTATGATCATAAAACTTTGTAAGTTGATGCATCTTGGGTCTTCAAAAAAGGTCAACTGAAAAGTAGGTCACCGTGACCTACTTTTCACTTTATATGACTATAATTAAATATTTCAGGTACTAATTGGCTCTGAATCATCAAACTTTGTCAGTTGAAAAGTAGGTCACGGTGACCTACTTTTGAAAATTTATGGCTTTAATTAAATATTTCAGGTACTAATTGGCTTAGAATCATCAAACTTTGTTAGTTGATGCATCTTGGGTCCTCAGAGTAGGTCGACTGAAAAGTAGGTCACGGTGACCTACTTTTGAAAATTTATGGCATTAATTAAATATTTGGGTACTAACTGGCTAAGAATCATCAAACTTTGTCAGTTGATGTATCTTGGGTACTTGGAATACAACAACTGAAAAGTAGGTCACCATGACCTACTTTTGAAAATTTTTGGCTTTAATTAAATATTTCAGGTACTGATTGGCTTAGAATCATCAAACTTTGTGAGTTGATGCATCTTGGGTCCTTGGAGTACAACTGAAAAGTAGGTCACTTTGACCTACTTATAAAATTTTATGGTTATAATTTTAAAAAATATTTTAGGTATTAATTGGCTTAGAATCATCAAACTTAGTTGATGGGTCCTCAGAGAATGACAAGTGATAAGTAGGTCACCATGACCAACTCTCAGGTCCTAATTGGCTTATAATCATCTGGGTTCTCAGAGTGTGAATTGGAATTTCAAGGGTTTATCTAAATATACAGGATACTTCGAGGCTTCAAATAGAAGTGATAGGTTATACAGTTTATCAGTAGAGCGATTCAAGGCCCTTGGGCCTCTTGTTTTAAATCATGGTGGTTCTTGGTGCAACGGTTGGACCAAAACAGATAGGAGGTCTCATTTATACATGGGAATATTTATGTATAACAAAAATCTTTTTTAAAAAATTCTCAAGAACGGCAGGATCAAAAATAAAATTGTTATGCAGGTTTCCATTTCAAATTGTCATAATCACGGTCCCCTGGGGATAGGATGGGGTTACAAAGGGAACTGGGGAGGGTGCCAGTACATTAGTAGATTTCTCTACCCTTAGTCCAGCACGTCTCGTACTTGGCTCAGAGTGACCTTGGATAATGTGCAATGGCCTTCAGCGAAATTTATAGGTCAAGATCAAGTATTTTAATTTTTTAAAGTAGGTATATGTAATTGAAAAATTCTTCTCAAGACCACTAATCCAGAAAAAATGAAAATGTCAGATTAAAACATGACCCTCAGGATTGGGTTGGAGCCATAGTAAGGGGTAAACGTTTTGCATAGGATCTACTCAGTAAGAAATACGCTATAACTTGTCTAGTTGATTTGCAAGCATTAAATTAAGACCGCGGAACATTAACTGGCAAAATTGGAAATATGCAGCATACACCATTTCCATCTGTTGAGTCAAAACATTTAATGATAGACAATGAAATGGGCGGGTACAATTTGACACGGACGTCCGAGAAAACATTGGATTGAAATTCTAGTTTGAAATTCATTTTCAATCCACCTGAGCTGGTTTTCAAACGTAAAGTGTGAATGTATTATCCAAATGACAAATAATTTCAATTCCGAAATACCTGTTGTTTGAAATTCATATTTATATGGGTTTTTTAACCTATAATTTTAAGGACACGTAAAAGTAATAGAAGACAGAGATTATTTTTTCAGGGGACGGTCATTTGATTCCAGAAGGGGGGAGGGGCTGTCAAAAATTGTGAAGTTAGATCATGCCTTCACATGACAGAATTTATTTATTTCTAGGATGACAAGAGCTTTTTTTTATTTTGTTTTGTCTTCACTGAAAAATGTTTGAAAAACAAAAACAGGGAGGGGTAGTCCAAACTACAAAAAACTTTCTTATTTATTTCTGAGATCCCCCCCCCCCCAGCAAACACATGCACATACCTAACAGAAATCAAATATTTGTTCCTTTATATTTCTTTTAAAACACTGGACAGAAAATTCTGATTTATATCAATTTCAACTATCTCCGAAATTGAAATTATTTGTCTTCTGAGTAACACCGTGCATTCTAGAGTTATCTGAGGTGGATTGAAAATTAATTTCAAACTAGAATTTCAATCCAATGTTTTCTCGGACGTCCGTGTCAAATTGTACCCGCCCATTTCATTGTCCATCATTAAACGTTTTGACTGCAACAGATGGAAATGACGGAAGCTGCATATTTCCAATTTTGCCAGTTAATGTTCCGCGGTCTTACGTTCAAATACTGGTCCTTGGAGCTAGTATGGAGTCACAATAGGGAGACAAGCTGTAACATTTACAAATAGGAGCCATAATACCATAACAGGGAGCAGCTCTTTGGAAAATATTGAAATGTTCTTCTCAAGAAGATAGTCAAAGTGATATGCAATCATCCACATTTGGAGTTTCAGATTTGTTTATTCACAAGCCGAATTTTGACACTCTTTCCTTTTTGAGAGTAAATCAATTTTGTATACTCACAATGTATCCTTGGATTGGTTCCTCATTTATACCAGTGGTAACCCCTCGCCAAGTTACATAAACACTCTGAGAGCCATGGGAACCCACATGAATCTCCGTAGGATACAAGCGTGGCGCTATAAAATAAAAAATATCATTTCCCTCACTCATATACCACATCGCAAGATTTTTTCTTAGCTGATTAAAAATAATTATAATGACTTGCAACATACCCATTTTCAAGGTAAGTTGATAATCGGTTTCACTTATCTGACTCATTCCCGCCATATTTAGTGCCTGCAGATTGACTGTGTACCACGTGTCTGGCAACAGACCAATCACAACACCGCTAGCCATTTGCCCGCGCCAGCTGATGGAATTCATGATAGGATCTTCAGTGAACCTCTCCCAGTAATTCACCTAGCGCACAGAATGATTGAGTTAACATAATGCATGTTCTTTTCTTGAATCCACCTCTCCTTAATGCGAAGTCCACATAATATGGAACTTTTAGATATCGTGGGGTTTTTTTTGTTTTTTTTTTTTTTGGTCAGGACCTAATTAAAACTTACTTGATATCCAAGCAATTTTCCTTTCATTGACTCGCGAGTATCCGGAATTGGATCCCAAGTCACCATCAGCGCGGTAGAATTGTATGGGTATGCTTGAACATTTGTGACTGACACAGTTGGAACTGCAGTGAAAATACTAAATGATCAGTCTATAATTTGATGTTTTGAAACAGAAATTTACTTGCAAGTGTTTGCAAGAGATTAAGTCCATTAAGTGTTCTTAATGATGATTTCTATGGATTTATATTCAAAATACTACGTTTGTTTTGCGTAATCAATTTTTTTCTTTAATTGTACAGTTTACGGGTTTGCTGAGATGTTGATTAAAAACGGTCTAAGAATCATTTCTAAATTTTCAAAGTAGCCACAAGCAGGTGACAGTACTAATCAGAACTTACTTTCCTCTGCAGAATAGATTGTACTGACACTGGAGTTAGGTCCAGAACCGTAGTCATTATATGGTTGTATCATGACGTCATATAGCAAATAATAATTATCGGCCCCAACTTGGGTGACGTACTGTCCCACATTCCCGACGAGGGTCACCTGAAAGAGTAATATGTGGAGTCAAGTACAGAAGTTTTAAAGGACAATAGCAAATTTCTTGAAGATCTATGGAAAACCCATACTGTAGAAGATAAATGAAGAATACAGTTATACATACTTTAGTCCAGGTTTCTGTGAGGTTCCTACGAAAGTAAACGAAATAGCCAATACCTGGTCCCCCAAACTGATGTTCCTGTAAGGGCTATTAAAAACAGGCGAACAATCCTTACTTGAATCCATATCCATAAAAAATGGCGATACCGAATAAGAGGTGGTCGTACACAATTTTGAAGCAAAGTGTTGTAAGTTTTGCATAACAGAGTTCTGATATATTGATTACTTATAATTACCATCCAGTTGATTGTCAAGTCTCCCACACTTCCGTATCCGCCACCCACGTGACTTGGCGGGTGAGTTGGCGGTCCATTTCTTGTTGTATACACGTCTGAAAAGAAACGCAGTTTTTTAGAGTATGTAAATAGTCCCTCACTTATTTTTAATTATACACTTGCCAATGTTGCAATGCTGTTCAGTAAGTCTTTATACCGGACGGTCTACTGCCCGGTCCAACTCCGTAACTGTTCGAGGAAAATACACGGAAGCGGTATCCACTTCCGGGATTTAATCCAATGACTTCAACAACACGCTTGTTTGGATCCCCACCAGGTATGATGGACGAAATATCAGCAACATCTGCAAATGCAATATTTTTTGTTACCAGATTTTAGTCATTCATGTTTGTACTCTAAAAAAATGTTATAATTATGTAAAATAAACCCATGTAATATTACAAACTTACGATCAATGGCAATAAACCACTCGTTAGATGCTATAGGTAAAGCTTCAACGGTGTGAAATAGGATATTGGCACCGTTAGAAGCTCCTACGGTCCAAGACAATCGTAGGGAAGAACTTCCAATACTGCTTTGAATCGCAAACACACCTGCAGGTTCACCTGGCGGACCTGAAGGTGAAAACACAGTAAAAGACCGTTGAATGACTTGTATGTTTACATGACAGAAACAGAAGTTTTTAAAATGCTTCTGGCAGAAATAAGATTTATGTCCTACCCGATACTTGACATCTGTATTTGTCAATAATATTAGTAAATAAAAATATTTATCCTCATTTCTTTAAGGGCCCCATACAACCATTTATATTATTTATACCAAAAGCTTAAATTCATTTGGGTTGCTCCAATAACACATAATACTTCTTTCACCAACCTATGACTGTGAGAAAAGCCCAAGCCTCGAAGCTTTCTTGTGTTGCCTGTGCTCTACACGTGTACTTTCCGCTATGCTTAAACTGAACAGCCATGACAAAGAGCCCAGTAAGAGATTGTGATTCACCCTGTATTACAGTAATATATGCATATATAGAGAAAGAGAGGGAGAGGGGAAGAGATTTATAAAATATAATTATAGAAGAACGTATGAATTTTATTTTGTAGGTTTTATTGTTTATGAGAATCATACCTGTTTGTAGAACAGATTATTTTTCACATCGATAATTTCGCCATTGAATAGCCAGGTGTAGATGACATCCTGTATAGGACTGTACGAAGCCTGACATCTCAAAAAGGCGGTCTGATTTACTGTCACTTGAACGTTAACTGGGGGAAGACTTATTACAACCTGATCTGGAAGGATAACATTGTAAAATGTGTAGAAAGAAAAATGCTCTAAGCATAATTAAGGATATTTTCTTATAGTTCATAAAGCAAAAAGTAGTACTTTATTCTCAAGATCTATTTTTTGAAAATGGCCTATTATATTTGGCTACCAACTAATGAAACACCTGACTGCCACACATTAGGAAGGGTTTATTGTTTTGTAAAAAGAAAAGACACCATTACCCAGAATGATTGTCGATGAATACCTGCTATTTGTAGGGATCCTATACTGGAAGCCGAGCCGAACATATTCTCAGCCCTACATGTGTAATACCCAGCATCCCCCAGATTGATGTTCGTGATTAACAGGTTCCCGTTCTGTAACATCCGGATCCGGGACGTGGTGTCTCCAGGACTCAGTCCAAGATCTACATTGTTTTTAAGCCATGAGTACGTTGGGGTCGGCGCGGCTTCTGGATTGCAGAGGTAAGTGATGTTTCCTCCAATGACCCCAAACATTTTATCCTTTAAGGGCTCCTTCACAAATGTTGGCATAAATGCTGAAGTACACAAGTTAACCGTGGGTTCTTGAATGCATGCAATTGCATTGGAAATGCGGAACATAATATTTTGTACGGTGCATTTTGGGTATTTAAATAAAAAAGATTATGTAGATTTGTCGAGCGATTTACCCATAATGAGAATCAGAATTCCGGAGAAAAATCTATTTTAGAGCAATTTTTTAATCAACATACACGCATATATACTCAGATTATAAAATTTTATGAACATGATCCTTTTTAAAGTTTTTGCCATTGAGAAAGAGATCAATTAAAATTTTGGTCATTTCCCTACTTCATGCTCTATGATTCAAAGAAAACTTTGCGCTACAAAGAATTCTTGCCTATAAATTTGACAATCTGTAGCTAGCTATCTCGCTTGTAGGTTTTGACAAGATTTGTTTAAAAAGCCCTAAACTTCTGCATAAAATTTTGCCATCCCACTTTTATGAACCCAGGGACAAAATGAATCAACGCTTCATGCAAGCGTTTTTGCACAGGAAGAAACAAAACCTTTCATTTAAAATTGGAAGGCGGCTTTCAGTGACTTTTCAGTGGCCATTCACTCACTGAATGGCAGGTACATTCAGTGACCTTTCAGTTATCTTTCAGCCACAATTCAGGTACCTTTCAGTCACCATTCAGCGGACACATTTCAGTTATCTTTCATTGACCTTTCCGTTGTCTTTCAGTCGCATTTCAGTGGCCTTTCCGTCGTCTGTCAGTCGCCTTTCAGTGACTTTTCCGTCATCTTTCAGTGACCTTTCAGTAGTAATTCAACGACCTTTTCTTCGGCTTTTCATTATTTTATCAGTAATTATTTCTTAACATTTTTAAAATAAAATTACTCACATCTTTAAGTGTTTTTTTTTTCTCTCTCTCGTGATAAAATTCAGAAAGGTAGAACTGGTAATGGTTAGATGTTCAATTGTACTTATATTGTTTACTAAAATGTTAAATTGTGATTATTAACTATTAAATTTATGTTTAAAAATAATTTTATTAATATTAAAGATTACAATTCAACCATGGACTCATAAAATTTCGAATTTCTAATTAGTTGCATGAAAATTGATATAGAAAAAAAATTATTCAAATGATGAAAAATAATGATGAAATATTCTTATCAGAATTTAATTAATAGAATTGTCTTTTTTTTCTTTCTGTAAAATCTCTAAATCAGCGATAAAATTTAATTTAATAAGTTGTTAAATGAATAATCAATCAGTCAATCTGAAAAAAATCGAGGATAGCGGTCAAAATACTTAATATAAACAAGAAAAAAAGTTTTCTTTTTTTCAGCTCTTATATAGTTTTTATGCGCCCGGATCGATAGATTGGGGGCGCATGTTGTTTTTGTCCTGTCTGTCTGTTGTCAACTTTAACCTTCACCATAACTTTTGAACCATGAGAGAGAGAGACTTCATATTTGGTATGCATACTCCACTCATTAAGTTCTTTCAAATGACATCAAGGTCAATGACCTTGTGACCTTGACTGTGACCTATATGCTAAAAATAGCTTTTTCGAACTTTGTTGCCGCCGGGTGCATAGTGTTTCACAAACACATCTTGTTCATTATTTTTATGTCCATCTAACACAGTATATAACATGTATAATGCAGTTAGTTTTCATGGAAATATCTCGTAGTGAAAGACGAAACAGAATTTTTTATTTCTGCCTCTTGTGGAAGAAACTTAATATTGTAAATTTTGTTTCTTAATTGTTAAAATCGCATGATATTTTAGCTTTTTAAAAGATATTGTTTTAGAATTATTTTACATAATTTTCTAGATCTGTAGAGAAATAACAACGTTTTCCAAGGTAAAGTTTCTTTGGAAAAAAAAAAACAAAAACAGGTGCCCGTCGCTGAAAATTGTCATCCCGATAATAGATGTGTAATTAATTAGTCTGCCCCAAAAAACGCAATTAACATAGAATATACAAAATGTAACTATACAAGATATATACACATTGCCCAGCTCCTCGATACAACAGGTGAACTGGTCGTCCCAATTCGATTTCTACAAATTTAGTGATTTTAAATCATATATTCATCAAGCCGCCGTGCCCTAATAGATAAGGTCACAGACTACCAAGCGGGAGGACGCGGTTAGATCCTGGCTTTCTGCAAGAATTTTTTTTATCTTACATTCACTTTTTCATTTTTTTTAATTCGAAAATAGATTAATTAATTACCATTGTAATAAGAAAACGTGAAATAAAATTTCTTAGTTAAAAAATCAGCGATTATTCAATAAGAAGATACAACTGAAAGATAACTGAAATGTATCTGCCATTCAGTCGACTGAATGGTAAATGAAAGATCACGGAAACGTCACGGGAAAGGATCTATTCAGTGACCATTCAGTTTACCATTTCGTCGACTGAATGGTGTAATTTCATCCTGTGTGAACTCTCGAGTTTAAGAGAAAAATATTGCTATTAATTAATAATCATTTTCCCTTTTAAAAGAAGGAGAGGGGGATCCTTGCCGTTTATCGAAAACATAATTGACTCTTTCGATCACGGATCTTAACGTCAAGTTTAAGATGGGCAGAGTAAATCTTGTGAAGTCAAAAACGTAAAAAGTTTACCGGCAACAACACTGGGAATGATGAATTAGTTCCAATGTTTCTTAAGTAAACTGCAGGTTTTGCAGAACCTGAAAATCTAACTTGTACTTACAGTCAACTTTCTAAGGATGCAATTCTTCAAAATCACATTTCAGTCTTTAATACTTTTAACATTCCAGTCAACCAAGGTGAGTTTGATCTACCCTACCTATACTGGATTCCTAAACATCATAAAAATCCTTACAAAGATACATAGCCGGGTCCAGAAAATGCTTTACAAAGCCCTCACAAAAATATTTACTGCTGTAAAGGAGAAATTTTAGACGTACTGTGCCATAGCATATTCTAGAAGTGGTGTAAATCAGGTGTGAATTCTCAAAAACTCCAAAGAATTTAAAAGAAGATTTAACATCGGCAATTTTTTCAATTTTCTTCTTCAGAACAGCAAAGCTATGATTGGTCATATTTAAATGGAAGCAGCCTCAGGTAGAGTAGATTCAAGTTTGTTCAAATCATGACCCCCGGGGGTAGGGTGGGGTTACATTGGGTGATCAATGTTTTACATAGGAATACATAGGAAAAATCTTTAAAAATCTTCTCAAGAACAGCAAAGCCATGATTGGTCATATTTATATGCAAGCATCCTCAAGTAGTGTAGATTCAAGTTTGTTCAAATCATGACCCCCTGGAGTAGGGTGGGGCCAAAATGGGCGATCAAAGTTTTATATACAGTAGGAATACATAGGAAATCTTTAAAAATCTTCTTCTTAAGAACAGCAAAGCCATGATTAGTCATATTTTAATGGAAACAGCCTCAGGTAGTGTAGATTCAAGTTTGTTCAAATCATGACCCCTGGGGGTAGGGTGGGGCTACAATGGGGGGATCAAAGTTTTACATAGGAATACATAGGAAAAATCAGCAACAGCCATTTTGTGTCATTTTAATTCAAAAGCATCCTTACAAAGTGTAGAATCAAGTAAGTTTAAATCATAACCCCCCCCCCCCCCACACACACACACACACACACACACCCCGAACCATTTTTATATTTAAACTTTTCAAGACTGAACTAATTTCTGCTTTTTCCTAGCCAAATAATTTCCGAGTTCCGTTTTTATTGAAGAAGAAGTTGTCTATGATATAAAAAAAAGCCTAGATTTTTTTTATTTATCGTGAGGGATGGCTGTATTAATTGTAGAATAACTCGTTAGGAATGGCTGTATTAATTGTAGAAAAGTCATACGTTTTGATGTTTTGATATCATAGACAACTTCTTCAATAAAAACACAAATACTTTGAAGTGATACTCGTAATAAAAGGATTTTGAGTTCCTCATAACATCAATGCCTTCGGAGATCAGGTCTTCCAACAAACCGTTGGAATTTTGATGGGCACTAATTGTGCTCCTTTATTAGCCGACTTGTTTTTACATTCCTATGAAGAAGAATTTATTTAAAAACTTCTGCATGAGAAGAAAACACTTACAGTGGTATGATTCGAGAGGGGTTGCTTACTCCTCCACTTCTGATCCACTTCTGGAATATCCTGGGGTCCGTGTTTAATGCCCTATTCACAGATTTGTATTGTTTCTTGATTTTTTTGAGATCGATCACTGTTCGTTACCTTCACCTATTTCATTGTTTATTGCTCTTCTGTGTAAATTTGCATTTGGTATATACATATAAGTAACTTTACGAAAGTGCTTTTATTGGAAGGATTTATTCATGTTAATTATTTTAAGAGTGGTTTAATAACTTATTTAGATTTATTCATAAGCGCTGTTTAATGTGGTCTGCAGAATTTGAGTATGCTTGTAATATACCTAATACACGAAGCTGCCCTTCGGTGAACGACTTTCCATGAATATTTTGAGCAGAGCATTGGTACATTCCATTGTCGCTTGTGTCTAGGTTCTGTATTGTCAACACGTTCCTGACAATGCTTAGCTTTCCCGGAACAGCGGTCAGAGGTACCCCGTCTTTATACCACTCATAAAAAGGTTCCGGTATACCAGTCGCTTCACAACGCCAAGTTAATTTGCTTCCTATGTCCACATGTTGACTCTTCATTGGATAACTAAAAAAAGGCTTTGCTACAAATTAAGAAAAGTGTTAATTTACCAATCATATCTTTTATGTTATACAATAAAACATCGTTTACTTTCAGTGTAATGTGCTGAATTTCGAACCAAAGTGATCATATAAGGTTTCATTAAACATTGGCCAAAGACACGGGTGATGATTTAATCTACAATCAAATGTGGGCGTGACGTTGTTTGTTTCAACATTAGATGTAAAGCTGTCAACTCCTTATCTTTTTTTTAACTAAAATGTTTACTTCTGTAGGTACGAGATGTTCAGTTTGAACTAAATAACACGGAAACTTCATGTTTCCTTGTGTACAATCGGTTAAGAGATTTTTGTGGTAAATTACGTTGTGATATTCACTTTATAATATTTTTCAGTTGTTTGTCAACTGGAAAAGTGAATATAGTTTTATTTTAAAAAGCCCACCTTGTGTTTAAAGATTATCATTAGAATATTATTAAATAAATTGAGATATACAAATATATAAGAGTGATTAAGACTTTCATTTATTTTTTTTTTTAGATTTATAAATACTTACATTCAATAACTAAAATGACATTCTTCTGCGTTCTTGCCACACTATACCTCGATGCATGACAAGTATAAGTGCCACCATCTTCTAGATGGACATCTTCAATGACTAACACACGATTGTGGTCCATAAAACTCGCTCTCGGTGACATTGGCAGACCTTGGCGAGACCAAGTGTACGTTATTGGCATACTGACAAGAAAAAAGAATTGGAAATTAGCATTTGTTAAGGACAGGTTAAAAGTATATATTACTATGCTGCAAGTTTTTCCACTTATTTTTTGATTTATTTCTTGTAAGCTGTTACATGTAATTAGGAAATATTGATAAAATTAAGATTTGAACCAAATAAATATTGCAAATCGAATTTAAATGCACATTCGCTTTTAATTCTTTTGAATCGTTTGCAATATCAATATAAGAAATGTGTATATTGCATTTGATTTTTTATATCATTTGTACTGCTCACGTTCCAAAAGCAAGACACTCCAGATATACTCTTTGTCCTCTTTGAGGCGTTCTGGGAAACACGGAAATAAACTCATTGGAAATTTCTGGGCCCCACAATGTGGAAACTAAATCAAGAACAGAGTAATTTATCTTTATAAATCCTATCCCAAGAATCATTGCTGTAATCTTGCATGTACTTTAAGAATATAATACGGATATTTTTTACATGCAAATTCAAACCGCAAAGAAAATGAAACGTGTTATAAATTACCGGCATTTATAACATTGAGAGCAGTAGGTAGGCTGGTTCTACTGGGAGGTTGGTCAGTTCCAATAGCAGCGCCGTTATTGGCCGTCAGTTTGACTATACACCTGTAGTTACCTGCATCTGCGGTGGACACCTCGGTAAAGTACAGCTTTCCATTACGAGAAATGAAAATGTAGTTGTGAAGATCTGGTCGAACGAAATTTTTATCGTCTTTATACCATTGGTAATTAATAGCTGTAATCAGAGGAAAGAAATATATTAATTCTGTGTTTTGTTTGTAAACTCGTCATTATTAATCTCTGTTTCGTTCTTTATGCATGGACGTAACAGTTTTAAACATGGTTCCTCGAGAAAACCCGTTTAACTCGGTTAACAATTCCGGATATATGAATCTAACTACGCTTGGAGACAATGATGTAGCATAAATTATATCATTTACACTAAACAAATCTTTCTGATCGGAAATTTCATAACAGAAAAACTGTTCTTGTGTCTTACCCGGTGTATATGTAGGCGGAATGCAATTTATGATAGCGAACTGGTACGCATAAGCTGTAACAGGAGCACGTTCTACATTGCTGAACTCGCCAAGTCCTGTTTGGAATGAATACAGGACAATTAACATTCAATGCATACACAGAGAAGCTGAAACTGCTTTAATCTAGTGTAGGAAACTACTCTGAATAATGTACACAGTGGTTGACATACTTCCAAACGTCATCTGAAGGTAATCACTCCGGACCTTCCCCTCGCTATTTTCAGCAGTGCAGTAGAAGGTACCAGCGTCACTCACTTCCTCAGGGTTCTGAATCGAAAGCTTTCCATTTGTCAGTGTATATCGTGGACTACTTGCAGAAGTGATGTCATATTGTGTACCATTGTTGGCAATTTTGGTTATTTTGTAATTTGGCTGAGGATTGCCATATGCCACGCATTCGAAAACTGCCGCCAATGCTTTGCCAACAACAACAATGCTTTGGGGCTGTATTAAGAATTTGGGGCCTTGTGGAACCTTGCTGGGGTCGGAAGTATTATGGCCGTAAGCTGTCGAGAAATTAAGCTGTCTTATGACACTGATGTTTTTGCTTTTATTAAAAGAAATGCTAGCAAATTGTCCTTATACTCACTGAAGTCCCTTTGATCTTGTACAACTTTGTACGATTCTTCTTGACTGATCTCACAGATAAAAGGATTCAGACTTGATGCCACGTCTCGCCCAAAAAGATAGGAATATACTGAATTTTAAGAAAAATATCGTTCTACATTGCTTGGATTAATGATGGAAGTAGAATATATTATTAATCACGTACAATTTTCAACATGCAAGTGGTGAATGAATTATTGCCAGTAAAAATATTTCGTAAAAATGGGATAGCACAGATTCATTGAACTTTGAGGAAAAGTGGGACATGAATCAAGAAAGAATTGATTATTATTATTTTTTGAAAAGGTAAAAAAACTGCAGGTGCACTGGAATTGTTTTAAACACAACATGGAAAAAGATATTCATGTATGTTAATTTCCTAAGATTTAAGAGGAGAATATAAGTTTTAAAAAGTATATTCTGTTTTAGTGTTTTATGGCTTGACAATGTATTCCCTTCAGCAACACTTTCTCTTGAAATTTTTACTATATTATTTTCTTTAAAATAAAAATGTGTTGTTTTTTTGTGAAACAAGTCTCTATATACAACATTTCAAAATTTATTCCTCTAAATCTAGCAGAAATTGGCCTTATGAAAGAAAGAAAATAAGATCTGAATATTTTGTAACAAGAAAATGCACTGTTGATGTGTCTTTCTATACTTCTTCATAAATTAGTGGCAATTTAAGAATAGTTTAGCATTATATAATTATTTTTAATTGTTGTCAAAATCAACATTTTTGCAAATATTAATTAAAAATACTTTTCAGTTAATTCATCGAGTGCATGGTTTAATGAAAACAAAATCACAAGAGATAATACAGAATTCAGCTTGATTTGATTTGTTGATTTAAAAAAAAAACAACAAAAAAACAGGAATATAATTTAACCTCATCGTGTGTATACTACAGTGTCTTCCAGGTTTAGCAAAGATATGGAAGAATAATAATATAACTTAAAGTCATATGTGGCGTATTTTTGATAAGTTCATACTAACTTAAATTAAAAAGGTCTTTCTATTTGATTAATTACCTTATATAAAGATTGGACTTTCCTGTAAATTACACAATTTAAATCAATCGCATTTCATAGATATTAGACTTTTAAAACAATAACCGATTTATTTACCGACTCCGCATTTAAATATTAGACAGTTTTAAGTCAATTTAACTATAGAAACGTGGGGTTATTCAAGTTCAAAATCGGTGAAAATGTTAATTTGAACGTAAATAACAAATATCATGTTCATCTACACTTAATCTCGTATTTTTATTTTTTAACTCAGATACGCCATATATAGCTTTAACCTCCATATGTGTATACTACATGTCTTCTAGGTTTAACAATGATAAAGAAGAATAAGAATATGATTTAACCTCCATATGTGTATACTACATGTCTTCCAGGTTTAGCAATCTCTTCCTGATTGAGCCACAAGGAGTAACCCAATGTATCTTTCGTTCCATCTCCTTCCCATCTGACGTCATAATTCGCCATGTCATAAACTATTCCGCTGGTGTACCACCGATACCTTACAAGAAATTGAGATCAATTACAGCAAAAAATATAAAACATGAATGATGTCGGTAATGATACAAAAAATAATAATAATACAAAATGATTGCAACATTTTAAAATCTAAAAAAAAAACAAAAAAAAAACCAAACAAACTCTTACGCTGATACGTCATTGTTTAAGAGCCATTGACCAATGAAATTATGCTCTGGGAGTGTATTCACGCTCAGTAACTGAGCACCATTTGCCTGCAAATTGAAATTTTCAAATACATGTGTATTATAATACTTGGTATGATAATTGGATTATTTTAATTTTTTCTTCAATATTTATTTTAAGAAAACGTTTCGATATATCGCAGTGAACTTGAAATAAAAGACACCACAGAGTTATCCACATTTTTTTCATATTTAGATGTTTAACTGTCTATAGACGACAAAGGCCTACTATCAACTACATTGTATGACGAACGAGATGACTTCAGCTTTTCCAATTTGTTTTTGTCAACTTTCCTTCTTTATATAGTAATATTCCGGTATCACCTGCACATGGTGTTTATGTCTCCCAACTCTTCGCTAGACAAGAACCTGCTCTGAGTACGATCAATTTTTAAACCGAGGCAGACTACTCACGCATTAGTTGATGTTACGGGGATTTCAACAACTCGTTTAATGTCCGCATTTTGTAAAATCTATGGTCGTTATAATGACCTTATTGGTAAATATAACCTATCACTGGGTCGTATTTTGGCTGGCTTGTTTCATACCAATAGTTAGACCTTTGTTTTAGTACTGAATTTAACTTCGGAATGTTACGTCTACTTGATCAATACATAAGGCTCAGAGCGGGTGTGAACGGTCAACAGGGAATGCTTACTCCTCCTAGGCACCTGATCCCACCTCTGGAATTTCCAGGGGTCCGTGTTTTTGCCCTGTTCACAAATTTGTATTGTTTGTGGTTTTAATGAGATCGATCACTGTTCGTTATCTTCTTACCATTCTTTATTGTAAATCATTAACTATTATATTAAAAATGTTTCAAATTTTTTTTTCATGTAATAGATATCAAGGAGTTTGTTATAAGGTAGAATCATGATACTTACGCCACAAGCGGTTTTTGCATCAATATATGTCCGATATGGGTAAACATTGAATTGGTAACAGTGAGTGTCGAAGAAGACCCAGGTGTCGGGACAGTCTGAGTTAAGAAACAAAAAAAAACATCGATTTAACAAACAGGAGAGGAATATTCCACACTTTACATTTATTTATTAATTTGTTTATTTCTTTCTTTATTTATTTATTGGGAAAATAACAAGGAGACTCTTAACGTAGTAGTAAGTGAATGTTCCAAAAATTAAGGCTTAGTTCTAAGATTTATTTCCATATTTGGCGTTAAGTATTCTTATTGTTATACTTTCCAATATTATACATGTAAGTTTAAGATAAAATGTTTATTATAAATACATACTAAACCATTGTGAAAAGACCCCATGTATAAACAGAAGTTGAGACAGAAATTTCTTCCTGAAAGTGTGAAATCATAATCACATATTTAAATTTAGAATTCAATAACAATATACTTGTACTTGTAAATATAGATATATAATTTTAGTGTCTAAATGATTGTTTTTAGGTTTCTGTCGGATTATACTTGTATTTCAACAAAATCAAGGTACTAGTAACCATTGAATGATATAGGCAATAGTACATTTCGTTGGTTTCTAGGATAAATTGAACATCCTAACCACTTAATAACTTATTTCTTTTGTTTGTCTTATTTTCATATACATAAAAATCTGCGGTCATAATTAAAACAATTACTGTAAACATTATATGTTTCCACAAAAAATGGCTACTTGCCTCATTGTTTATCATTTCCTGACATCACAAAGTTCTGCACGAGGACGGTGCATTTTATTATTTTATAGCACATTATAAAATTTGTCATCGATTCAAACTAACAGACATACCCGTTAAAGTATTTGTGTCCATATCATAAATTCAGCGTTTATGACTTCTTGGTTAATCAATAGATTACAAACTGTAAAGAAAAGGCGGGACAATTTTTAAACGACTATAGATTTAAAACTGGAGATAAGCATACAGTAGAAAATTATGTATCTTGAAAAAGTCATGCTTGTTTAACTTATTTCATTAGTTAATATGTAGTCATTCTATGCCCCTACCGTAAAGTTTTATTCCTTTCTCATCATATTTCATATTTGTTAGTTTAAATGTAGTTTCTATGATCATATATGCAGCGTGCTTGTGAAGACAAAATTTCTCTACAATTTACAAATCCAAGCCACAGTGATACCAGTAGTTTCTCAGTAAAAGAATGACACATTGCCACGTACAGTGTCAGTTAGTCATTTACTTTACGTGAAGAATTACTTAATGGCTCTTCAAGGGTTAGGGTACATTAAACTGTCCATTTCAGTTACCAATAGTTTTACGACGTACTGGGTTTTGAATGCACGACTTTTCTTCCGACTTGCATATATTCTTCAAAGATCAATGAAAAGGTTCCTTCAACTTTTATTGACATGGAAATGACTTGTCCAATATAGACCGCAATGCTTCTTTGGTAGCATTTCAGTTTTAAAGAAAAACATCACCGTAAATAAGAAGTTAATAAATTATTCAAATCTGAAAACATCATCAATGAATTGTCTTCTTTTTTACAAATAAGTTTCTTACATTGACTGTTCTGCTAAAATGAATCAGAACTTTGTTAATCTATACCAATGTTAAAAGACTTTATGATGAAGTTAAAATGTGGAATTTTTCATAAAAAGACAGTGTTTAGGTTTTGTAAAACATTACCAAGAAATGAATTCTCACGTTTGACCGATGATTTCAAATATTGAGGTCAGTTAATGGCAGTAAGAGGTAAATTAGGACAAAAAGTCATGTTGAAAGACGACCTTACACCCATGAAAAAGAATCTTAAACCCAATTAATTAAAGGGACAGAAATAGAATGCTTCAACTACAAGTATATAGTATATACTGATATTGCCATATTTTACATTAAACAGATTGATATTAGAAAAAATAAAATGGAATTGAAAAGATCAGTTCTATCCGTACTTTTTGAACAATTTTCAAAAGGTATATATCAATTTTATGTAAATATTTATCTTCGGTATGTTTTTGGATAATGCATATTCAAGGCATGTAAATGTAAATTTAAACTTTTTTCACCTTTAAGTGGAAAGAAAAAGCGCCTCTTTTGACTGCTAAGTATTTTAACACTCAAGTGAGTCTTTCTTAGCAGTGTTTGTGTCAGTGACAAAAACTCATGATGAAATGCGATGTTACACTCGATGGTACATATATTACCGTTACTGACGCTCAGTTTAATGTGTTCTCCAGGCTTGTGACTGACCATTTGCATGATTATGAAGCGGAGAGACATGACCATTGCATTTATTTGGTTCAAAGGGACATTAATTGAGTGAACGAACTTAAGCTAGGAAGTTAACTTTTAAGTCCAGGCTTTTTGACATCATAGACTATTGCTTCCTTAAAAATAAAAATGGAACTCGTAAATTTACATATCTTGTCATTGGTCATCTACAAAATTTATTTTGTTAAAATACATTTTGATTGTACATACAAGTAAAGAAATTTTAAAGTAAATAAAAGTTTATGAAAAGCTGATGACTTCAACTTTTAATTCGTCAACTTCCCTTATTTAGGTAGCAATATACCATTATTGCCTGGAGTTTATGACACCCAGTTGATTCGATACGCAAGAGCGTGTTCTACGTACGAACAATATCTAAAACGGGACAAGCTATTGACAAGTAGACAAGTAAGTGATACAAGGGTATCAATAGTTTTGTTAAAAGGCAACATTTCGCAAATTCTTTGCTCGATACATTGACCTTGTTAGCAAATACAATCTATCGTTAAGTCAAATATTGATTGAAGTTTTTCATACAAGTTGTTAGGCTATTATTTTCATACTGAATTGTCTACGGGTTTTTAGCTCACCTGAGCCGAAGGCTCAAGTGAGCTTTTCTGATCACATTTTGTCCGTCGTCCGTCTGTCCGTCTGTCTGTCTGTCCGTCCGTCTGTAAACTTTTCACATTTTTGACTTCTTCTCAAGAACCACTGGGCCAATTTTGACCAAACTTGGTACAAAGCATCCTTGGGTGAAGGGGAATTTAAATTGTTAACATGAAGGGCCAAGTCCCCTCACAAGGGGAGATAATCAAGAGAAGACAAAAATAGGGTGGGGTCATTAAAAAATCTTCTTCTCAAGAACCACAGGGCCAGTAAAGCTGAAACTTATGTGGAAGCATCCTGGGATAGTGTAGATTCTAAATTGTTCAAATTATGACCCCCGGGGGTAGGGCGGGGCCACAATGTGGAATCAATGTTTTACATAGAAATATATAGGAAAAATCTTTAAAAATCTTCTTCTCAAGAACCACTGGGCCAGAAAAGCTGAAACTTATGTGGAAGCATGCTGGGGTAGTGTAGATTCTAAATTGTTAAAATCGTGACCCCCGGGGGAAGGGCGGGGCCACAATAGGGAATCCAAGTTTTACATTGAAATACATAGAAAAAATATTTAAAAATCTTCTTCTCAAGAACCATTGGGCCAGAAAAGCTGAAACTTATGTGGAAGCATGCTGGGGTAGTGTAGATTCTAAATTGTTAGAATCATGACCCCCATGGGTAGGGCGGGGTCACAATAGGTATTACAAAAAGATCGTCTGGTGAAGAGCAGCAGGGCCAAAGTTATTCAGGTGAGCGTTGTGGCCCATGGGCCTCTTGTTTCGTTTGTCCGGTCATGACAAGGAGCAGATGGCGGTTGTGACCGGTTGACAAGAGATGCTTACTCCTTCGTGGCACCTGATCCCACCTCTGGTGTTTTAAGGGGTCTGTGTTTGCTCTGCTCCCAATTTGTTTTGTTACAATGGACTTTAGAGCTTGATTACTGTTCGTTATCTTCATATTTAATTATTCAAATTTCAAGAAATGCAACCAGACACGCACATATTTATATAAAGGAGATAGATGTGGAGATGTGTGGATGGGTGTGTATATGTGACGTAATGGAGTAAAATAAGTTAGCTTGTTGACTTAACTGTACTGAAATACACTGCAGTGCCTTACCAAGCACCACAAGTTTTGCTACTGGACAATCAAAATCTGAAAACACACTCAATTGACTTCTTTTCTTACATAGTTTAAAATCATTTTCTGCTAATATGATTTAGAATTTTTTGGCTCATTGACAATTTTAAAAGACTTGGTGAAGTAAATTGTTAATAGTTTTTTATCGGACATATATTGTACATCTGTGTTCATATTCAAAATTGTACATAAGTAGAAAGCTAAAAGAAAAGTTTTAGATAAAATATGGAACGCTACAAGCGCAGATTCAGACAACGCGCATTCCCTTCAGAGAGGTAGAGATCGGCTGTTGGTCAGTTTGGGACAGACAAAAAATGTCTTCTGAAAACCATCCTCCTCGATTTTTTGATTAACAGTGAATAACTATATTATGAAACATCCATATATACACATTAGCTGAAATTAACATTCTTTAATACAAGTTTCAATTTCTATGAGAAGTTCGGTTTTTGTGCCATGTCTGCGACAATGGCAAAGCGAGTGAACATTGTCAAAGCAGAAAGTAACAAGAATAGGTAAACACCAACTTTAAAAAAAAATATTACATGGCATTAGTGCGCTTCCGTAGTTAACTGTATACGTCGTCGTAGTCAATTGCTTCGAGTGACAAACAAAAGTCGTGCATTTACATTGAACCCTTGTTACTTTATTACATTTGATTTCAAATATCAAGAATTATTTTTAACAGAATTACAATTTCCATACGAATTCAACTCTCATTTAAAATCGGCAAGGAAGGTCGTGGACTTTGATTTATATTTAAATATAAACAAAACTAAATCTTTCATGGATATTTTTTATAAAACTAATATTTGTAAATATATTGAAAAATTAAAGCGATTCATAAGACATTTCATGAACATCCGTCTGACTTAGCTTAGACCTCGCTTAGTTCGTTTAATTTTATGCTACGGCAAAAACGCCAAAAAAAAGTCCTGCCGAGGAATTAACTTCTCTGAGACGTTCAACGTTCCGTACTTGCTGTTAGACTTGCGTTGCACGACGCTACATTACATTGTAATAATAAAGATAAAATTTGATTTTCAACAGAGAAATGATGTATAAACTTTCAGTGAAAATTTGAATGATGTATGTGCATAAGGTATAAGATAAAATACGGAGATAACGAACATTATTCAACAGTTCTAGCGAAAACAAGCTAAAAAGTCCACTCAAACAATACAAATCAGGAGCAGAGCAAGCACAAACCTCTAAAACATCATAGGTGGGATCAGGTGCCATGGAGGAGTGAGCATTTCTGCCGATCGGTCACACCCACCGTGTGCTCCTTGTTATGATCGCGAACGGAAAAATCCGTAGACAGTTCAGTGTTTAAATAATGGCCTAACAATTAGTACACGAAAACATTGATGTTGCCATCAATTGTCGCCCGGGAAATAAATGAAGTAAAATCTTGATCAACAAACCGCTTCGATATGTGTTATAAAGGCATACGTCTGAATGATCGAGACTGTAGTCAAGAAGATTTACGGAAAGCTTCTGATCGGATGACAATCGAACAAAAACGATGCCGTTTTAAACTTTTTCATTTCCTCAAGTAACTGTTGGCTGCATCTTATATAAATTAGAATCAGACACATGTATCACCTATCATCAAAAATGTATTTGACTTAATGAATATAAAGCACAAACTGTGCAAGGTACGTTTTTATGCAATAAGTAAAATTCAATGCTCTAAAAAAAGGGACCTGTCGTTTTGTCGATAGTAAATGATAAGCAACTTTGTATACTACATATGAAAAACATATATATTTTTAAAGATGTACTTAATGGAAGTAAATATTTTGTGTATCTCGTAATTTTTAAAGGGAAAGAAAATTCTGATATATAATCTTTTTAATGTATAGTTAACCTTTAATTCTGAATAACTTCTCCCACCTCAATCCCATACACCAAAACTTTAGGAGGTTGAATCCTGTCGTCAAAAGTAATGAGAATTTTTTTCAAGTATATTTTTAGAATCTACACACAGCTGAATTAAAAATCAAAACAAAAAATAGGGGTCAATGCACTTCTTTTGGCGCTACAGAGCATTTAGTTTGACCTTTTTGCACTGTAAATACATCTTGCACATGATTCAATTTTCAAAGTTTTTCTTCCAATATTTTTATTCAAATACATTATGGGAACAAACACAGTCTTATTTCATCTTGAATAGATACATTAAAATTTGTGACAACAAAAAATTTTCAAATAACTTCGCATATTTAATTATTTGACCTTTTTGCACTCAAAAATATCATGGAATTTTAACTGAATATCGTTTAATTGGTATTGTAGAGTCCAAATTTATTGTAAGAACTAAAACATTATGCAGAATTTTTTAAATGTAGGTTAAGACAAAAAAATTTGCCCAAAAGCTCAGGAGCGAACCTCGTTAAACTTCTACACGTATGTGTAGAGCAGCCCGGTCCTCCGGGCTGCAATGATAAACGTCAGGCAGCGTTTGACTTAATGATAGATTGTATTTGCTGACAAAGTCAATGTATCGACCATTATATAGAACTTGCGAAATGATGACTTTAAACGAGAATGTTCTTGTATCATTTACTTATTTGTCAATAGCTTGCCTTGTTTTAGAAATTGTTCGTACGTAGAGCATGCACTTGCGTATCGAATCAACTGAGAGACATAAACCCCATTTGCAGGTGATAAAGGTATCTTGCTTCATTAGTAAGGGAAGTTGACGATTGAAAAGTTGAAGTCATAATGTTTATCATAAAGCTTGGTTGTTAAGTTACCATTAAGGTCTTTTTCTCGTAAAATACCGGTATCCAAATACGGAACAGTTGTGTCAAACTCTGTGGTATCTTTTATTTTAAGGTCACTAGGATATGTCGAGTCGACATATGAATGGAAGTAACTATTGTTAATTGATAATACGTCGTCGATATATCCAAATGTCGAGTTGAAGGCCACAGTAAGTGTTTTCTTCTCATATACATAAGATTTTGAATAAATTCTGCTTCATATGAATACAAAAATAGGGCTCCTAATAACGGGACGCAATTGGTACAATAACAAAGTCTACGATTTATTGGGACTTATCCACCATGTGTATAAGAGAAAACCGCGTGATACTATACAATGTTATATATATTGTACAATTTAATAAGAGAGGAAAAAAGGTCTGAATAGCCTACATGTATACCAGAGCCATTTATTGGGACTTTTTCCTCATGTGTATAAGAGAAAACTTCGTGATACTATACAATGTAATGTACATGTATATTGTACAATGTACTAAGAGAGGATAAAAAGGTCTGAATAGCCTACATGTATACCAGAGCCAATTGAATTTATAAGTTGAAGGTTCGAGAGTCAATTCATTGTTGTTTTTTCTTTAATATAGTGGGGAATATGAGTGGGGAGGTAACAGTTTATGTACGTATGGTAATGATGATTTATCTTATGAACGGTTATTCTGGGGGTAAACGCGGACTTTACTGTAAACATATTTATTACATGGACTTGCAAGTTTCACTGTTTTAACAAATCAGTTTTAATTTTGAAATGATTAAACAAGTTTAAATGCTTGTAACTGAATGTTCCTAATTATCCCGTCGACTTTTCTGGAGGGTTCCACTGAACGCCTCTCTGTGCTTCGTATGTATTTTACATATTTCCATTGAAATGTGGCAAATGAAACATCTTGCAAATATCTAAGAAATCGGAAAATAATGAAGTGAACACAAGGGGAAAACAATCTTATCGTGTCGATTTACAAAGACATCTCAGCAGAGGTGCAGCCAAAACTTTTCAGATAAAAAGACAGGTTACGCGTAATTAAAATCAATTTCCGAAATTTTAATATATCAGTTTATGTCCAATAGAGGTTGTTATCACACCTTTATGTAAACACCTGTTGTCACATTCAATTACGAGTAGGTATAATATAACCACTCATAAAACCAACAATTTTATTACAAAATTCTTTCTGGATTTTATTAGATTACAGGAATAGTTGTGTATCCTTAAAAAGTTGTCATTGTTCAAAATTTCAATGCCGTAGAAATTTCAAATTTTAATAAAGTCGTAAAGTTTTCAATTGTGGATTTTGATCTTTATCATATGAATGTTTTGTGAGCCTCTTTAAAAGAAGATGAAAAATAAAAAAAGATAATTAACTATTGTCAGGTGCGTTGTGCATATATTTTGAAAAAAAAATCGGGATACATCTCAGATGAAGTTGAGAGTTTTTTGCTGACACTAAAGGGGAACTGGGGTTAGAATGAAGATGTAACTGATACGTGTATTTGACACGGGGATGATTGGCGAGAGACAGTAATAAAAGTTACGACTTTACCCGTCAAATTGCGTAAGCGTTATGAACCACTTAACTTACATTTTATTTCTGCGACGACTGTGAAATATCAACCGTTGGGAGGCGTTTTGGATTTACCTCTGTTAAATTTAAGGAATTTTACGAGAGGAACTGTGATTATCGGGTTCTATAAATGTATTTGTTGGTTTTATTCATTCAGGATTTAGTTTTATCGAAACATTCAAGGTAAGTTTTTTTTTTCGTTTATTTATTATCAAAAAAGATCTAGTTTCTTAACTTGGATGCAAAAATACTTGTTATGCACAAAATTAAAAAAACAAAATGAGATAAGTTGTAAATCAAAAGTTGTGTCCCAGGTGCAAGCTTTACGTGTCTTTAAAAGTTTAACTATCATCATCTAGAGAAAAAAAATACCACGAAGAGGAATGATATGGACTAAATCTGCTAGCCTCTCTATAAGTTCTACTGAAAGCATTAGACAGTGTAAAGATTTTAATTATAATCGAATCTACCATATTTCGAAGGACATTTCATGAGACAAAAACTTCTCTCAAGCGTGAACTCAGATGTCTTTAAAAGTATTCAATACGATGTTTTCATGTATTTGTCCATCCACTATTCCTGGAACACTATCACACCTTAAAAGTAATTTTGTCCCCGGTTACATCTTGAGCAGATACTGAGTGTTGATTTTATATCATCACTTAAGACGAAATCCGATATGAATAAGCATGCCGTGAGATTATAACATTCCAAAAATTACTATTCACACTTGATAATGACTACTGTCCTAATTCCACGTTCATGATCCCAAGATACCCGAATTAATTCGGATGACATTGTGTCCCTTTTTAAGTTATATCTTTCTGCATTGTCACCGTTTATGTGCACATGGTTAAAGGTTCTTAGATAAAATGAGATAGGGGTGGGTGGAAATTAATAATTTCATCCCATTGACAGGGTGTAGACGCATGTTGTCACCACATGATGACAAGTCTTCAAACTGATAAGAGGAAACATTTGGAAATTACAAGTCTTAGTCAAAAGTAAACTAAAGGTGGCAAAATGATAACGGTTTTGTGATTTGTAGGTGCAAGTGTCACCGTTATCTGAAATTGTTTAAAGATGCAGTACTGATTCTGTACATGATGTGAACTTCATTGTTCAAAAATATTTCGACTACGATTTTCTCCGCATACATCACTCACAAGAGAAAAAAAAAATATTGATCCCAGCGATCATTTTATGATCAAAACAAAACCAAAAAAAAAAAAAACATATCTGAAGAATGTCCCTTCTAGCATGTGATTGAAAAAAAAAATTATAAATTGGAAACCCTATGTTACCCAGATTTTGCATTAATTTTGGGAATGCATACGATTGTCAGTCTTAATGTGTCTATTTTAACGCTATTGGAATCAACTGCTAAAAATTGCCATTGAAGCATTGACTTCTTCTGAAGTACCTTTCAACCCAGTCAGATAACGCTGTTCTGCCGCGGGTTGATGGATCCGCTTCCTTAATTATGTGTCAAGATCATCGTTTTATACAGAGAAACAAATGTTGTCTTGACAATATCATGGACTTCTTTCTTTTGGCAAGGTCGCTGACATTCTCTCAATGGTGCACTCTCCTTGTCAATGTCATATTGATCAATTTTTCATGCCATTATAGTTAAAAGTGATTGTCCAATTGTCTGCCTTTCACATAAACAGGAAATATGGATGGCATATTTTACCATAAAAAGACATGTTCTTGCGAATTTTTCGAATAAATTTATTTAAATTAATTGTATTTTTGTGTTTCTACCCTACAAATATTTATTTATTATATATATGCAGTAAAATACTTCACGCTTCATTAGTCTATTTTCACGAGCAAAGTGAAAAAGGAAATCTTTTGTCACCCAAAAAACCATATGACAAATCCACTTCCACCAAATACATGTGTACGTATACAAAATCGCGAGGACATTTTTGTTGCAATAGCGATTAGTCCCTGTATAATCAACGTGAAAGTTAACCTGTAATTTAGTCTGGCGATCCGTAATGATAAACCTCAACTATCTTTATCCCTCTGAAGCTGGAGAGGTTAAGGCGAACCAGGTATGTCAACCCTAGGGTATACTTATACGAAACACTATCATTGCTGAGACATACGAGCTCCACAGATGACAATAAAGAACTGCATTGGGAATCACTGACATCTCTCTGCACATGACCAAGTCTCGTCCAAAAATTTATGTATTGAAATACGGCAAAATTCTTTTTTCAAAGCAAAATAGTTCATCTTTGCCTTAAGAAGAACTTGTTCACAGCAATTTAGGAATTAACATATATGCTAGCAATTTTATTAGGAAAGTAGATCAATGGATTTATATCAAAAGCTGTCCCCTTAGGAAAGGTACATTTTTTGTTCTTGAAACATATAAAAGATTGTACCAGTTTTACCATTTACTTTATATTGGAATACCAGGTAAGTGAATTTTTTATAAGTGCATTACACGTTTCTATTGTATGGTCAAATAATATTTAATACCGACTCAACAGTAATTGACATGCTTTGATAATTAATACTTTAAAAATTAGGAGTAGACCCTGCTGGAACCTTGCACCGCGTATGATACAAGAAATTAAAAAAAAAGTTTTGTAGTATTGGATGTAGAAGTACCTTTAGCATATGCTTAAAAACCTTTTCCGGTATTCGAAGTCTTTATTTACTTTATTCGGCTAATTAATATTACATATAAACCTTAATAATTCCCTCTTATTTAAGATATTACAGCAAAAGTTTCAGAAGTTTGTAATGCTGTTCTGTCAATTCCAGCATTTGATTATTTAAACTTTTATCAACCTTTTCTTTTTGAAAACATAAAAACATATGTTGAAGATCTTACTTGCATGTATTGAAATTGTTTATCGTAATTTGTGCAGTTTTCTTTCCGTCTTCTCAGTGCATGTTGAAATTTTTTTGTTTTAATCTCTTTTCGATTTCTAGAAATCGAGCGTTTTTATTTCTAAGAGTTAGAGAACAGAGTCAGATAATTGGCTCTTTATCCTGTGTGGCTTCTTATCTTTCCTTCAGACCTGTTAGATCGTCGTCTAACTAACAAACTTTATTTCTTTTTCCCCTGCTGTTTTCATTTTGGATTATTTTGATTTAGATCTGAGATTAATTTGTGGTGACTTTAAGAATGTTTGTCTTCTAATGCAAGAATCTTGTAGACACCACACACACACACACACACACACACACACACACACAGAGAGAATATTTCTTTACTTGTATGAAGTATTCTGAATGTCATCGAAGTGCATTCTTTTCAAAATGGACTGGTGCTGCCTGTCTCCATCGAACTAAAGATATTTTGAAAATAATATTCACAATGACATAGTTGTGAATTATTAAAAGAATAATTATTACCAAAAAATATTTGTTCTGACAACGATAAAAAACCACAGTATTGCGCCAATCTGAGTTCTGGAAAAGTTGAACTTGGTATTTCACCAGAAGAATATCATTTATTCCAACCTCTTCACCGTTTTTCAAAGGTCATCATCCAACTGTAATATATATACACAGCTGTCAAAAAATTGTATATTCTTCAATCTTCACATTACAGAGGTTAAAACGGGTATAAAAATGGCGATGGATAATGTTTCATCATCGTACAAAATTTACATGAGCACCGTTTAATGTATTCAGGTTTTGCAGACGATCATAAAAATTAAAGTTGACGTGCCTGCATCCTTTATGTATAACATGATTGTAACCCTATGTCTTAAGAGTCGTGAAAGGAATCTCCGCTTTTATGTCTTGTGCAATTCATAACATTATATACCAGACTGAAGTCACATCTCATATCATACAATAAAACATAATTTATGGGAATCTGATTTTTAATTGACATTGATGAGTTTTAAATAAAGAATGTTATTTTTAACGAGTTCTCCGGTTCTCACTTTTTTTATATTGTGTGATTTTGTTTCCCTCGTCCTTTGGTATACAGCAGTCGTAAAACCCTGTTTGCTTCGTTGCTCAAAGTCTAACCGTTGGAAGATAAAATCGTCAGATTGTGACAATATAAGTGAACTTCATTGCTAATTTCAGACTCCTTATGATATGTGATATGACCTTAAATCAATGTTAAAAAGGTGAAATAAAAGAGTCGTATTCACAGATAATTAGACAATGTTCACAATTTGGAACAAAATTAATAAGCATCAATTTTAAACGACAAGAAAAACCTCTAAGACATAAAGTGAAATTCTAAACTGGTATTACCGCCTGGTAGCCTTTGTAATCTTTCCTAGGTGTGCAATTACATGTAACAACTAACAGTTGTTCACCATTTCGGTATTAAGGAACGCTTAAGACTGTGCTTTGATGTAAATTGTTAACATTGCTGTATTTCTTAAGAATGAATTTTATCACTTCCTAGTTAGAACGGTACTTACCTTGTCTCAATATTTCCTCAAATGGAGCAAGGGGTTACTAGGGGCTTCAGTACATCAGTAGCATTTAATTCCTGTCATCTGTGATGGCTGTGGAATTCGATGTAAATATAAAGAAACGACGTTATCTTTTTTCACAAATACATACTGAAAAGCTCCAACAGAAAATGTTACTCGGTTTTACATATTCTACTGCAAACCATATCTGATCACTGACATCTAACGCTGTAATAAGCAATTAAGTACTTGCTTTTATTTATTTTTTTTAAAATTATATTTAAAGATATTAAAATGTAATTACTTATTTGGTCTATATAAAGTGATGGGCAAATTCTAATAAAGCCGTTCTCCAGTTGTTGGAACACTGGTTTACTGATATAAAGAAAGGTCGAGCAGATACACTGACCTAGTATGTTAAATATGGAATAAATTGAAACTTAAATTGCAATAAATCTATTTAAGTGGGTATGCCAAATAATACGGGTGTTTTGTAAGAGACTGGTTAATTGAAGAATTTGATCATACACGTTCAAGATAACTGTGGAATCAAAACGCGGGTACTTTGATTTTGTGTTTGGATAAGCTTGTTATAGTGATTATATTTCAAATGAGATATTTCCAATTGTGTTTATTTTCTCTTAATTTAGAAAATTAAATGAAATTTGGTTAAGCTTAAAAAATTCACCAATGCTTCAAAGGCAGTTCAGAAAGAAAAGTCTGTAAAACTGAGTCCTTCAACTTTGAAACAATCCACTTAAAGCTGTAAATATT